AGCATGAAAATCAACAATTTTATAACGTTCGACTTCCATATAATTTTGAAAAGTGCCGTACGGCTAGACAATACGTACAGTGCGTCCTGGCTAGTCGTTCGTGACTCACGTACGGCTAGAACTTTTGGCTAGCCGTACGTTTCTTTATTAATTATTTTTTTTTTTTGATATTGTTACGTATTTTGAACCATAAAAAATCTCCTCTACACCTCCTGTGAAAATTAAATCGCTGGTCAATACTTTATTATATTAATATTTCCTTACGATTCAACTAGATGTATCATGAATCTAAAGATGTGGGGAAATGACATCACGCGCACCTGTTTTTATACGGCCAATACACAAACATGGCCGCGCTTACTGATTTGTAGAAATCGGTGATTTAGCGATTTAAATTTTGTTATCATTCGTTTAATATTATTTTTTGGCGGCAGAAAATTTGCAGACTTATTATTTATAGTATTCTTTTTCTGAAATCAAGTTTTTATTCTAACCTTGTCTTTCCCTTTAACGTTTATATGTTGTGTTTAAAGAATACCGTGATGCATCAAAGTAATGAACTAACAAAATTTTTTGTCGTGCGCCGGTATTACGTTACCAAGGTAACTGTATGACGATTCGTTTTCACGACATGCCAGTTACACTTTTTTTTCTTTTGTTTTCTTTTCATTTGAGACAGATCTCCCCTTCAAGTGATATATAATTAATATTTTTCTATCAATAACTCTCACGACAATAACTGCAGTGCACGAATTTTTTGGACAGCCCTCGTACATCAATAGGAAAATTGAAAACAAAGTTTTACCTGTAAAAACAATAAATATCTGACAAAAAGAGTGGTTTCATTTTGTCAGCAGAAAAACGCAAAAAAAAGAAAAAATGTACAACAAAATCACTAAATTTAGATTTGCTAAAATAAGATCAGTCCCAAAATCACGAAATTTGCAATACGTGAAAATAACCAGATATACGGTATAGGAATATCATATCATCATGGACCTCTAACTACGGTGCCTTTATTAACCCTATCATGACTTTATATCATAAAACAAACATCATTACACACTTATCTCATGCATATAAATCAACCTCAATTTGAGATCATTAGTTGCATGGAACAACCTTATATCATATGATTTAAGGAGGTGGGGTACCAAAATCAGAAAATTTGTCTGTTTCCTTTTTTAATTATTTATTTATTTTTTGTTAAGTCACACATTCAAAGTAAAACCTGACATTTTTTCCATTATTATATTTTATGTCATGACATAAACTTAAAATGAATTTTTACCTAAAAGAAAACAAAACATTAAAATAATTTATTATAAGGCGCTGTATGATGCGGTAGCATGGCTATTTGGTTATCATGTTGGACCAGTTATCTTATAATGGGCCGCTGTCCGGGTGAGTTCAAACCTGTACAGGGCTACCCCTTGTTTCCTTGAGCAAGATGCATTACAATCATTGCCCAATACTGGTTGGTTTTAGGAACATATCCCAGGGCAGTTTTTGTGAAAATTGTGAAGGGGACTGGACCTGTTCATTTTGTGAAAAAAGCGCAATTTGTCATAAAATTGTGAAAAAAAAATTTACATATTGTTTGGCATTTAGCAACATTATGAAACTGGAAAATCTGCTTCAAGTCGGTACTTTAACCCGCTTAACATGACTGTGCTTAAACCATTTAACTTGATAAAAACTATTTCTGTGTTCTTGAAATTGGGGTAAATCATGTTTAACTGGAAGGTAAACAATGTATTTCAAAGACAAATTCCCAATATTTTGTGAAATTTCTTTTGAAATTGTGAATTTTTTTTTTGCCACTTTGTGAAAAAAAGTGCAATTTTGAATTGTGAAGGGGCCTTTATAATATCGTCCCCTGTTATAGAAGGGAAAAAGCCCTGTATCCGAGAGTGTGTCTATAAGCTTCAAGTACCTACACAATCAAACTAAAATAAATTCTGTACAATGTACAAAACCAAAAGGTGCTGTAACTTTGCCCCAAGGAAAATAAAAAAAAGGTCAATCTTGTAAAGATTTTCTGAATTAAGAAAAAAAATCCCTTTATTATACTAAAATCTCAAGATCGGTGACCAAAGACCTTAAACAATGGAGACAGTGATTACAAACATCTAGACCCAATGTCTCCCACCCCTTATCATGGTCATTTATCACAGAATAGTTACATTAAGACAACAGACGGTACAATCTTAGACAATGGGTTTGTACAAAATGCCAACGTCTTTGTATGAATCATACATTTAACCATAATATTGATCCCTGGCCATTATGTCTTACCAGAGTTAAGATTTAAACTTTTTAGACAATAATTCAAACCCAGTGTTTAAAGATGAATTAAATTGAAATTCAAAGTTTTGGAAAGCATCCAGTTTTAGATCATATCCTTGTAGTATGTTTTAACTTTAAACATAAATAAATTAACTCTATGAATATTACACTTACAGTGTGTGTATACCTAGTTTCAGTTTAAGAACAATTTTGATACACCATAAAAATATCAGACTAAGTCATCATGTTTTACATGAACAATAAACCGAAGACACCCTGACTACCACCACCAGCCTTTAGCAAACTAGCTGGGTAGCTTCCACACCAGAAACTGAAGAATCTAAATGTCCTTGCAGGATTTGAACAAACAGTCCCGGTGCAAAGCAAATGATATTATAGATGAAGTATTTTCTGTATACTATAGATGAATTAATTTGTGTATAAAAATGTGTGTATATTATAGATGAAATAATTTGTGTACAAAAAATGTGTGTATATTATTGATGAAGTAATTTGTGTACAAAAAATTGTGTATATTATAGATGAAGTAATTTGTGTACAAAAATGTGTGTATATTATAAAGTATTTTGTGTACAAAAATAAAATTTGTGTTTATTATAGATAAAGTAATTTGTGTACAAACAAATTGTGTATATTATTGATGAAGTGTTTTTTGTACAAAAAATTTGTATATATTAAAGATAAAATAATTTGTGTCCAAAAAAAAAGTGTGTATATTATTGACGAAGTGATTTGTGTCCAAAAAAATTGAGTATATTATTGATGAAGTGGTTGGTGTTCACACAAATTGAGTATATTATTGATGAAGTGATTTGTGTACAAAAATGTGTGTATATTATAGATGAAGTAATTTGTGAATAAAAATTTGTGTATATTATAGATAAAGTAATTCATGTCCAAAAAAATTGAATATATTATTGATGAAGTGGTTGGTGTACAAACAAATTGAGTATATTATTGATTAAGTAATTTGTGTACAAAAATGTGTGTATATTAAAGATAAAGCAATTTGTGTATACAAATTTGAGTATATTATTATTGATATAGTGATTTGTGTACAAAAATTTGTGTATATTATAGCTGAAGTAAATTGTGTACAAACATTTGTGTATATTATAAAATAATTTGTGCAAAAATATTGTGTATACTATAGATGAAGTAATTTGTGTGTGGTGTAATGGAAGTCTTTCTTATAATTATAATACTAATTGGATAAAAGAAGTATAAATTAAAATCGAAAGTAAAATGTCAAATAAATCATGAATATATGAATATAAATATCATTTACATAACTGAGGGTATATGTTGACAAACAAAGAAGATCGGAAACCTATTTCAGGACACAGACCTCTTAAATTATGTCCTTAATCATGTGTGATATAACAAAGACCTTTAGATAATTGACATACGGATGATATTCATCTTACATAATTGTCATAAAACTATGTCTCTGCTCCTATTTCATACACTGTTTGATTTATACTGCTTCATAATTATAATAAAAAGAAAAACTAAAATTGTTTATTTATATACTTAAAGGAACTCCACTGAGGTACAAAAGCCTAAAAGCATAAAATTTTAACTTTTCACATAGATCAGCTGGGAAACTTTAAATAGAAAGACATGCACAAGATTATTAAGAAATATACTCAGAAATAAATTGAAAATCTTATTTGTTTGTTATTCTTATCCGTATTAGAATAATATGAATGAGTTGAAAGGCCTTTTAATTCTGGGTCACTTTTCCACAATAGAGAATAATTATTCTAGAAAAAAAGGAGTGAGCACAAATGATCTGAAATTTTGCATAGTCACAAGTAATTGGTATTAACCACATCCAAAGATTAATCTCGAAAAAATTTCAAGTCCTGTACTGTAAAAAAAACTCAGTGGAGTTCCTTTAAGACAAAATTTCTTGATTTTGATCAAACATTGGTTTTTTTCTTTTCTTCAGGGATTATAAAAATATTGCCTGTTATAATCAGGCACTTTAATTGCAAACTTTACGTGATCCATGAATGGAACTCAATTTCTAGCAGATTGCGTGCTTCAATATTCAAAGTTTAGTTCCTTTAAGACATTATTATTACATTTTCTCTTCCGTGTTTTTTTTTTATTTGCCTGCAAATACAATGTGTCAAGAATGAAGAGATTCAAAACCAAGAAAACTGATGACTTTTTTTTAAAGAATAAGGACTTGAACAGAAAGTAATATTTTCTTAATTTAGTACCAATTTGGGTATTAGCATATTGGTTAAGGTGCAAGTTATCTGAAGTTAGCTTGTTTGTTTGTTTTGTTTGTTTGTTTCATTTTACGCCTTTTCACAACAGTATTTCAGTCATATAGGCGGGTAGTTTCCTAACCATTGTTCCTGGAGAGTTACACCAGTACTAGACTACCTTCCTCCGTGCTAAACTACCAAAGCATCTCCCGGGGATCGAACCCACCCCAGAGAGGTAACTGGATTAGAAGTCATCGACACTAACCCCTCGACCACGTAGGCGGTTCTGAAGTTAGCAATCTTTACAACTGGGCAATAGAGACCTTTAACTGTAAGCTAGCTGGATTCTAAGTTTCCTCACATATATGCATCATAAATTCATTGCATAACCTGTTCTAACAGCTGTGAAAGGTACATTATTCAGAGTCATTAATCACTTGGGTCTTGAGAGGACAATATCAAACTCACCTTTCTTTTATCATTGATGTTGAGGAATAGTGATGTCAAAACACATGCGAGTGTATTAGCTAGTAAAAATATCATCACATATTTCCATCTCTCTAAAGTCAGCTCATCTGATAATCTGAAAACAGAGGATATTGATATAATGATTATTGAAATAGAGGATATTGAAATAGCAGATATTGAACAAGCAGATATTGAAATAGCAGATATTAAAATAGGGGATATTGAAATAGCGGATATTGAAATAGTGGACATTGAAATAGAGGGCACTGAAATAGCTGATATTGAACTAACAGTAATTGGAATCGGGGATATTGAAATAAGGGATATTGAAATAGCAGATATTGAAATAGTGGATATTGAAATAGCGGGTACTGAAATAGCTGATATTGAAATAGAGGATATTGAAATACAGTCCGACCCCGGTTATTCGACAACCCTTTATTCGAATACCCGGCATTATCCGAAGTACATCGGCGGTCCCGTTTTTATCTCCATATAAGACAATATGAATACGAGCGTATTATTCGAAATGCATTATCCGAATACCTCCTATTTTTCGAAGTAAAATTTCCGTCCCGATTATACAATTATGAAAGAATTTCACACCTATTATTCGAAGCCAGCCTAATTATCATTCGAAGCCAGACTAATTGGCGCAGATCCACTCGCTGACCAGTCGACTTGTGAAAAATATCCACAGTCATGCGTGTAATTAGACAATCATGATAATAATTCTTTATATGTTCTTCAATCAACTTTAATTACCGAAAATGAAAAGCTATGCACCGTGTCCGATTTTGTTGAAGATGACAGCAATAATTTTTTTTTATACTTTCCGTATATGTGAATTTGTCAAAAACATCCAAAACTTTTTTTTTCATTAATTGTAACGCTACATGAGAGCCTTAATTTATCCTAATCGAAAATACAGAGTTTAGCTGAAAATACCGTAGTGAAGACACGGCCATTACCAAGGCTTTGCGCGAAACGAAACGATACATAATGTAAAATAAAATGCAAGTATTTATGTCTTCAATGTCAATACAATAATTTTTACGCATCTTTTCTTAAATATTTATTTTTCTCAATTGATTACAGGAAGCAAGTGTGTTGTAACGGTAGTTTTTCGATGATTGGTCAAAGTGGAGTAGTTTTCGTCTATCACAATATTTCGATTTCGATTATTCGAACCCATCGATTATTAGAAGTAAATATTCAGTCCCAGGCACTTCGAATAAACGGGGTTGGACTGTAGTAGATATTGAATTGTGGATATTGAAATAGAGGATATTGAAATAGCGGATATTGAAATAGTGGATATTGAAATAGCTGGTACTGAAATAGCTGATATTGAAAAAGGGGATATTGAATGAGTGGATATTGAATTGTGGATATTGAAATAGGATATTGAAATAGGGAGTATTGAACTAGCAGATATTGAAATAGGGGATATTGAAATAAGGGATATTGAAATAGTGGGTATTGAAATGGTGGATATTGAATGAGTTTACTAAATTTATACTAAAATACTAAATTTATTGACTTAATAAAATTATAAAATAATGTGATTTCGGCCATTGAAAAATTAAAATACCACCCCTGATAAGTTACATATTTAGTTTGAAGCCAAGAATTTAATCCCTGTTTATCACGATACATAAAACTCTGTAAAGGGTTTTGTCACAAAAATGTCTTGAATCGGAAAAGAAAAAAAAAAGAAAAAAAAAAAAGAAAAAAAAAAAAAAAAAAAAAAAAAAAAAACAGAAAAAAAAAAAATTGTGCAGCGAAAAAAAGAATTAAAGAACGCAGAATACATATATAAAGAAGAGAAAAAGAATTATGAGAAAAAGAAAAGTGAAAGAAGAAGAAAAACATGAGATAAAAAAAGAGACAAGAAGAAAAAAAGTGGAGGAGGAAAAAGTAAAAAAGAAGGATAAAAAAAAAAAAAAGCAGGAAAGAGAAAAAAAGAAAAAAAAAAGTGATAATAGAAAAAAACAGCAAAAAAAAAGAGAGAGAAGAAAAGAGAAAATAAGATAAAGACAAAAAAAAATAGGAAAATAATAAAAGAATAATGAAAAAAAAAAAAAGAAAAAAAAAAAAAAAAAAAAAAGAAAAAAAAAAAAAAAATAAAAAAAAAAAAAAAAAAGAAATAAAAAAAAAAAAGAGAAAAAACAAAAAAAAAAGAAAAAGAAAAAAAAAAAAAAAAAAAAGAAAAAAGAAAAAAAAAAAAAAAGAGAAAGAATAAGAAAAAAGAAAAAAAAAAGAAGAAAGAAAGAAAAAAAAGAAAGATGGGAGACACGAAGAGAGACAGAAGAAAAAAAACCATAGAGGAATAAGAAAAAAAAAAGAAGAAAAGTAAGGAAAAGAAAAAAAAAAAAAAGCAAAAAAGGAAAAAGAAAAAGACTATGTTGTCATCCTGTTGAATTTTGGTAAAATTCCCCTGTGAATAACGAACAGGATTATTTCTATTTTTAGCTCTGACAGCTATTTGTGCAGAAGAAAACGCCGGCGATATGCATGTAAACTACGGATGGTAGTGATCACTTATGTGAAGTTTCATTCAAATCCCACATGCAGTTTGACCTGTGAAAGCAGGACAAGATTTTTTTATTTATATTTTTTATTTATAGCTCCGGCGGCCATTCTGTGCAGTAAAAAGGAACATGCTGGTGATATGCACAACTAAGGATGATACTGATCATTCCTGTGAAGTTTCATTCAAATCCCACATGCAGTTTGACCTGTGAAAGCTGGACAAGATTTTTCTATTAATAGATCTGGCAGCCATACTGTGCAGCGAAGCAAAACATGCTTGCAATATGCACAACTAGGGATGGTACTGATAACTCATGTGAAGATTGGTTGAAATCCCATCAGCAGTTTTACCTGTGAAGATTTTTCTATTTTTAGCTCTTGTGGCCATTTTGTGCAATGAAGCAAAACGTTCCGGCAATGTCCACAACAAGGGATAGTACTGATCACTCCTGTAAATTATATTGAAATCTAACCAGCAGTTTGACCTGTGAAAGCTGGACAAGATTTTTCTATATTTAGCTCTTGCGGCCATTTTGTGCAGCAAAGTAAAATGTGTTGCCGATGGGCACAACTTAATATTGTACTGATCACTGTTGTAAAGTTTCGTTGAAATCTTAACCTGTGTAGGCTGACAACATTTTAGCTCTGGCAGTTATTTTGTGCAGCGAAGCGAAACATGCCGGTGATGTGCATAACTAGGAATGGTACTGATCACTCTTGAATAGTTTGGTTGAAATCCCACCAGCAGTTTGACCTGTGAAGGCCAGACAAGCTTAATGCAGACAGACGGACAATCAGATGGACAGACAGACAGCAAAGGCAAAAAATATGTATCCCAAAAATTTTGGGATGCCCCTCCTACACTATCTACCTTGATACTCTGTGCCTCAGCCTTAAAATGCTGACAATGCTCCTATTGCCTATACTCTGACAGTAAATACAATGATACAGTATATGGAGTGTTATAGTAAATGGAGCAATACAGTAAATATAGTGATACAGTAAGTAGAGTGATACAGTATATGGAATGATAAGGTAATTGAGTAATACAGTAAAAGAAGTGATACAGTGAATAGAGTGATATAGTTAATGGAGAGATACAGTGAATAGAGTGATGCAGAAAATAGAGTGAAACAGTAAATACAGAGATAGAGAAAATGGAGTGATACAGTAAATAGAGTGATACAGTAAATGGAGTGATAAAGTAAATAGAGTGATACAGTAAATGAAGTGAAACAGTAAATACAGGGATACAGAAAATGGAGCTATACAATGAATAGAGTGAAACAGTAAATGGAGTGAAACAGTAAATACAGGGATACAGAAAATGGAGTGATACAGTAAATAGAGTGATACAGTAAATGGAGGAATAAAGTGAATAGAATGATACAGTAAATGGAGTAAAACAGTAAATAGAGTGATACAGTAAATAGTGTGATACAGTAAATATAGTGATACAGTAAATGGAGTGATAAAGTAAATGGATACAGTGAATGGATACAGTGAATAAAGTGAAACAGTAAAGGAGTGAAACAGTAAATAGCGTGATACAGTAAATGGAGTAATACAGTAAATAGAGGGATACAGTAAATGGAGCGATATAGTGAATAAAGTGATACAGTAACTCAGTTAATGGTGTGAAACAGTAAAAAGAGGGATACAGAAAATGGAGTGATACAGTTAATAGAGTGATACAGTAAATGGAGTGATAAAGTAAATAGAGTGATACAGTAAATGGAGTGAAACAGTAAATAGAGGGCTACAGTAAATGGAGTGATACAGTAAATAGAGTGATACAGTAAATGGAGCTATACAGTGAATAGAGTGATACAGTAAATGGAGTGAAACAGTAAATACAGGGATACAGAAAATGTGATACAGTAAATAGAGTGATACAGTAAATGGAGTGATAAAGTAAATAGAATGATACAGTAAATGGAGAGATACAGTGAATAGAGTGATACAGTTAATGAACAAAACAGTGAATAGAGGGATACAGTAAATAAGGCAATACAGTATGGAGTAAAACAGTAAATAGAGGGCTACAGAAAATGGAGTGGTACAGTAAAAAAAAGAAGAGTGATACTGAAAAAAAGAGTGATAGAGTGAATAGAATGATACCGTAAATGGAGTGAAACAGAAAATAGAGTGATACAGTAAATAGTGTGATACAGTAAATAGAGTGATACAGTAAATAGAGGGATACAGTAAATGGAGCAATATAGTGAAAAGAGTGATACAGTAAATCAGTAAATGGTGTGAAACAGTAAAAAGTGAAACAGTTAACAGAAGGATACAGAAAATGAAGTGATACAGTAAATAGAGTAATACAGTAAATGGAATGATACATTAAATGGAGTGATACAGAAATTGAGTGTTACAGTAAATAGAGTAATACAGTAAATGGAATGATTCATTAAATGGAGTGATACATGAAATGGAGTGATACAGAAATGGAGTATTACAGTCAATAGAGTAATACAGTAAATAGAGTGATACAGTAAATGGAGCGATACATGAAATGGAGCGATACATGAAATGGAGTGATACAGAAATGGAGTATTACAGTCAATAGAGAAATACAGTAAATAGTGTGATACAGTAAATGGAGCGATACATGAAATGGAATGATACATTAAATGGAGTGATACAGAAATGGAGTGTAACAGTAAATAGAGTAATACAGTAAATGGAATGATACATTAAATGGAGTGATACAGAAATGGAGCGATACATGAAATGGAGTGATACAGTAAATGGAGTATTACAGTCAATAGAGTAATACAGTAAATAGTGTGATACAGTAAATGGAGCGATACATGAAATGGAGCGATACAGAAATGGAGTGTTACAGTAAATAGAGTAATACAGTAAATGGAATGATACATTAAATGGAGTGATACAGTATATGGAGCGATACATGAAATGGAGTGATACAGAAATGGAGTATTACAGTCAATAGAGTAATAAAGTAAATAGTGTGATACAGTAAATGGAGCAATACATGAAATGGAGTGATACATGAAATGGAGTGATACAGAAATGGAGTATTACAGTCAATAGAGTAATACAGTAAATAGTGTGATACAGTAAATGGAGTGATACATGAAATGGAGCGATACATGAAATGGAGTGATACAGAAATGGAGTATTACAGTCAATAGAGAAATACAGTAAATAGTGTGAAACTGATACAGTAAATGAAGCGATACATGAAATGGAGCGATACATGAAATGGAGTGATACATGAAATGGAGTATTACAGTCAATAGAGTAATACAGTAAATAGTGTGATACAGTAAATGGAGTGATACAGAAATGGAGCGATACATGAAATGGAATGATACAGAAATGGAGTATTACAGTCAATAGAGTAATACAGTAAATAGTGTGATACAGTAAATGGAGCAATACATGAAATGGAGTGATACATGAAATGGAGTGATACAGAAATGGAGTATTACAGTCAATAGAGTAATACAGTAAATAGTGTGATACAGCAAATGGAGTGATACATTAAATGGAGCGATACATGAAATGGAGTGATACAGATATGGAGTGATACAGTCAATAGAGTAATACAGTAAATAGTGTGATACAATAAATGGAGCGATACATGAAATGGAGTGATACAGAAATGGAGTATTACAGTCAATAGAGTAATACAGTAAATAGAGTGATACAGTAAATGGAGTGATACAGCAAATGGAGTGATACAGCAAATGGAGCGATCTATAAAATCAATGTAGAACCTACTGAACTTACCCCTGATTTTTGCCAAGAATCTGGCCTACAACCAGATTAGATATTCCGATACCAATCATCTGTATTGATGTAGTAAGACCCATTGCTGTACCTATAGTTGCTTGACTGACTACCAGTGGAATGGATGGCCACATGCTTGCCTGTAATACACAAACATTTATTATTGAAACCGATGTATATATTATCTAAAGTGATCTAGTGAGTACTACAGCACTGCTAAAAGAATTTAACCATACAACTTGAGCATACCAAGATTAGCAGACATGTGACTCTGATCGTGGTCTGCGCTGTTACACGTCAGTCAGTGCATGTTTTGAAATTTTTCCCTCAAATTAATGGTATTATATTCAATGAGTATAAGTTTAATACTAAATTTATTGAACAAGTTGAATAAAATCATATTATGCGGGCCTTTAAGTATTGAATCTACATGAATATTCTACTTATCACATAGATAACAAGAACTGTCAGAGGACAGTAACGCTCGACTATTCGAAAAGTTGTCACAAGGGTGTTTCATGGAGTATAATAATGCTTACCTATATGAATAAATAAAATTGTCCGAAAAGGTACAAACCCTTCAGTAGTTATGGAGATACCAGCTTACCTAGAATTTCTAAGTCGAAAAAGGGGCATAATTATGCAAAAAAGTAAATCAGAGTTATGGAACTTGTGCTATTCATCTTAGATAATCACAGAAAACAAGTGTGTGAAGTTTCAATCCATTCCTTTCAGTAGTTATGGAGATACCAGCTTACACGCAAAAACTTAACCAAGAATTTCTAAGTCCAAAAAGGGGCATAATTATGTAAACTAGAAATGTGTCCATAGGACACGGATGCCCCCACACGCCACTGTTCTGTCAATCTTATGACTCTAGGTCAAATATTTTTTGGACTACATGTGCCACAAGTTGAAAACTAAAAATCAACAAAGGGCCATAATTCTGTTAAATTTGGTCGCAGCAAAAATTCCTTCCTTTACTACCATCTACACATTAAGGTTGTTCATCCCTGGAAGTTTAAGCAAAATCTGCCATCCGGTTTAAGAGGAGTTGTGTTCACAAAATTTCTACATAGTATATAGTGAAAAAATCAACAAAGGGCCATAATTCTGTTAAATTTGGTCGCAGCAAAAATTCCTTCCTTTACTACCATCTACACATTAAGGTTGTTCATCCCTGGAAGTTTAAGCAAAATCTGCCATCCGGTTTAAGAGGAGTTGCGTTCACAAAATTTCTACATAGTATATAGTGAAAAAATCAACAAAGGGCCATTATTCTGTTAAATTTGGTCGCAGCAAAAATTCCTTCCTTTACTACCATCTACACATTAAGGTTGTTCATCCCTGGAAGTTTAAGCAAAATCTGCCATCCGGTTTAAGACGAGTTGCGTTCACAAAATTTCTACATAGTATATAGTGAAAAAATCAACAAAGGGCCATAATTCTGTTAAATTTGGTCGCAGCAAAAATTCCTTCTTTTACTACCATCTACAAATTAAGGTTCTTCATCCCTGGAAGTTTAAGCAAAATCTGCCATCCGGTAAAAGAGGAGTTGCGTTCACAAAATTTCTACATAGTATATAGTGAAAAAATCAACAAAGGGCCATAATTCTGTTCAATTTGGTCGCAGCAAAAATTCCTTCCTTTACTACCATCTACACATTAAGGTTGTTCATCCCTGGAAGTTTAAGCAAAATCTGCCATCCGGTTTAAGACGAGTTGTGTTCACAAAATTTCTACATAGTATATAGTGAAAAAATCAACAAAGGGCCATAATTCTGTTAAATTTGGTCGCAGCGAAAATTCCTTCCTTTACTACCATCTACACATTAAGGTTGTTCATCCCTGGAAGTTTAAGCAAAATCTGCCATCCGGTTTAAAAGGAGTTGCGTTCACAAGATTTTGGGACAGACGTACGGATGGACGGACGGACGGACACTCGGACGGACAAGTGCAACGCTATATGCTCCCACTCTGTGGGGGCATAAAAAGCAAATCAGAGTTATGGGACTTTTGCCCATCATCTAAGATAATCACAGACAACAAGAGTGTGAAGTTTCAATCCATTCCCTTCAGTAGTTATGGAGATACCAGCTTACACGCAAAAACTTAACCAAGAATTTCTAAGTTGAAAAAGGGGCATAATTATGTAAAAAAGCAAATCAGAGTTATGGGACTTGTTCCAATCATCTAAGATAATCACAGAGAACAAATGTCTGTGAAGTTTCAATCCATTCCCTTCAGTAGTTATTGAGATACCAGCTTACACGCAAAAACTTAACCAAGAATTTCTAAGTCGAAAAAGGGGCATAATTATGTAAAAAAGCAAATCAGAGTTATGGGACTTGTGCCAATCATCTTAGATAATCACAGAGAACACGTGTGTGAAGTTTCAATCCATTCCCTTCTGTAGTTATGGAGATACTATCTTACACACAAAAATTTAACCACAGGGACGCCGACGCCGACAAATGGGTGACTGCATTAGCTTGATTATTCTGCAAATAGTCTAGCTAAAAATAGGAATGGTAAACTGTTAAAAAGAGTTTTTGTTCAATGACGTGCCTACAGTGTAATGCTAACATTAGCCGGCTATAACACAATATTTATATATAACCCAAATGACATCACATGTTGTTTAATTGCTTTATTAATCTCCTGTCACTGTTTATGTTATAAATTATAGGTGCAGATGCTATAATGAATAAGACATTGCAGAACGACTGGTATAAATTTAGATTTGTCCATGGGAAGTTTTCAACATCAAAGTAATAATTTAAAAAGTTAAGCAGCCAAAAATAGTTTTACCTTATGCAATGCCTGCTTTTCATTTGGAACTTATATAAATATAAGGACTAGCAATTTCAAAATAATAAAATTAGGCATCCAACAGTTTAGAGAAATGATCAAACAGCACAAAAAAGCAGGCTGGTCTGGCTCTATATCGGTGGCACAAGTCAAACATTTACAATCATATGGGTGGCACAAATCATATTGGTGGCACAATCATATTGGTGGCACAAGTTAAACATTTACAATCATAACCGTGGCACAAGTCAAACATTTACAATCATATAGATGGCACAAATCATATTAGTGGCACAAGTCATATTGGTGGCACAAGTTAAACATTTACAATCATATCAGTGGCACAAGTTAAACATTTACAATCATATCGGTGGCAAAAATCATATTGGTGGAACAAATCAAACATTTACAATCATATCGGTGGCACAAATCAAACATTTACAATCATATCGGTGGCACAAGTCAAACATTTACAATCATATCGGTGGCACAAGTCATATTGGTGGAACAAATCAAACATTTACAATCATATCGGTGGCACAAATCAAACATTTACAATCATATCGGTGGAACAAATCAAACATTTACAATCATATCGGTGGCACAAATCAAACATTTACAATCATACTGATGGCACAAGTCAAACATTAACAATCATATCAGTGGCATAAGTCAAACATTTACAATCATATCAGTGGCACAAGTCAAACATTTACAATCATATCAGTGGCACAAGTCAAACATTTACAATCATACAAGTGGCATAAGTCGAACATTTACAATCATATCAGTGGCAATCATATCAGTGGCACAAGTCAAACATTTACAATCATATCAGTGGCATAAGTCAAACATTTACAATCATATCAGTGGCATAAGTCAAACATTTACAATCATATCAGTGGCATAAGTCGAACATTAACAATCATATCAGTGGCGCAAGGCGAACATTTACAATCATATCAGTGGCATAAGTCAAACATTTACAATCATATTGTTGGTACAAGGCGAGCATTTACAATCATTTCCGTGGCCCAAGTCAAACATTTACAATCATATCAGTAGCACAAGTCAAACAATTAAAATCATATCAGTAGCACAAGTCGAACATTTACAATCATTTCAGTGGCACAAGTCAAACATTTACAATCATATCAGTGGCATAAGTCAAACATTTACAATCATATCAGTAGCACATGTCGAACATTTACAATCATATCAGTGGCACAAGTCGAACATTTACAATCATATCAGTGGCATAAGTCAAACATTTACCATCATATCGTTGGCACAAGTCAAACATTTACAATCATATCAGTGGCATAAGTCAAACATTTACAATCATGTCGGTGGCACAAGTCATATTGGTGGAACACATCAAACATTTACAATCATATCCGTGGCACAAGTCAAACATTTACCATCATATTTGTGGCACAAGTCAAATATTTACAATCATATTGGTGGCACAAGTCGAACATTTACAATCATATCAGTGGCACAAGTCAAACATTTACAATCATACCAGTGGCATAAGTCAAACATTCACAATCATATCGTTGGCACAAGGCGAACATTGACAATCATATCCGTGGCACAAGTCAAACATTTACAATCATATCGTTGGCACATTAGGCGAACATTTACAATCATATCAGTGGCAAAAGTCAAACATTTACAATCATATCCGTGGCACAAGTCATATTGGTGGAACACATCAAACATTTACAATCATATCGGTGGCACAAGTCAAACATTTACAATCATATTGGTGGCACAAGTTGAACATTTACAATCATATCCGTGGCCCTAGTCAAACATTTACAATCATATCAGTAGCACAAGTCAAACAATTAAAATCATATCACTAGCACAAGTCGAACATTTACAATCATATCAGTGGCACAAGTCAAACATTTACAATCCTATCAGTGGCACAAGTCAAACATTTACGATCATATCAGTGGCACAAGTCAAACATTTACAATCATATCGGTGGCACAAGTCAAACACTTACAACCATATCAGTGGCACAAGTCAAACATTTACAATCATTTAAAGGTTTTTCAATAAAGTTAGACACTTACTGCAGCTATACTGTATGTGACACCAAGCCAGAGTGTTGGTACAAGTGGATAAACATGAGTAAATGCCAGCAAACCAAATACTGGGATAGTAAATACTGCACATCCTATAGCCAGGTATCCTCTCATACCTATTACATCCTGAAATATATAACAATGATATCTCTTTATTCAAATTACATAAACTTTTAATGGTTGGTTGGGTTATTAGTTCCATTTACACTGTTAAAGCTACATGCCTCCAGATGAGTCAAAATATTTCAATAAAATCAAACTTGAGAAAAAGGTACTAAAATGTAAGGCAAAGTAAAAGTTTCAACATTCAAGTAATATTTTACATATTATGTGCAATTAATTTTCAGTATTTACAACTATATTTCTACTGCGTTACTAACACAGTAAAGGCTATTATGCATATTTTGACCACTTTTTGGCAATTTAAGTGTTTGTAAGTGTCATTGATAATGTGTAAATTGCATCCTTTTGGTTACTTCACAATATTACACATTCATTTTGCATTTTCAAAATTTTCATGAAAATTAGCAAGAATCTGGAGGAGTGCTGCTTTAATGAGTCATATGGTAACTGATGGAGCAGGACCTCAGGCTTCCACTCTGCAAATTGTTTCCAGCAGAAAGTAGAGCCACCAATTTCTGATATGCTTTCAGGAGAGCGAACTCGCATGCCACAATCCAAAGTCTGTGTTGAGTTTAAAAGCTATAGTAGTAAAGGGAACATGGTTCAAAATCATGAACTTCTAACACTTGATTGGCCACAGAGACCACAAATTTCTATTGAAATAAATATATTTATCTGAGGAATCCTTTATCAAGCAAATGAGAGGTTTTTGAGTTTATAGCTTGAGAATTTAAATAAGCATAATGAAAAGGTTATACCACTATTAAACTATGCCATACTTACAATAATTTAACCCATATGTTCTTTAAATATTACCGGGTATAATTAACTTTTCTTGAATGTAACTATTGTCCTTTGTTAACATGGGGAATTTTGGTATTAGTATGTTTTTACACTAACTCTGATGTTGAGCTCAGGTGAGCTAAAAATAATACCAGTAAAAAATTTCACGGTGCCCTGTTGTTTATTTAAAAAATTTTTTGAAGTGTTTTTTAAAAACCCGACTTTTTTTTAGCCAGGTTTTATTTTAATTTTAATCAACCCTGCCCAAGGGAAACCCTTATATGAGTTTCCATATTATTTTTCTATTTTTCAATAAACTAAAAATTTAAAAAAAGTCTTTTGGATTAAATAAATTTTAGTTTTTTATACTTACAATAAACCTTTCCCAGGGAAAGGGGAGAAAAACCCTGGGGACATCGTTTGAAAAGAACCTGATATATACGGGTACGTCGGGTCCCCTAAATCCATACTCTTTCAAAAGAATTTTTCTGAAATGATTTAAAGAAAAAAAAAACAATTATTGGATAACCTTAAAACCCTTTTTTGACATACCCCCAATGGACATGTCGGCTTTAATTTGGAACAGAACATTTTAATTTTTAGGGGATTTCAAAATCAAAAATTTTAAAAACACCCTTTTCCGTCAGAAAAAAACATTTTTTTCCCTGTTTCCTTGGAAAAAAAAGTAGCCCCGGGAAAGTGGGAAATTTTTTGTCATAAAAAATTTGCAAATTTTAAACAAAAAAAAGCAAACTTTACTTCCATACCAAAAAACTAAACCACTATAAAAATCTAATTTAATTTTAAAACCCCTATAAACGGTTTTTTTATTTTGAGATCAAAAAGCAAATTTTTTTTTAAATTTTTGGGTACTTTTTTTGACAAATAAATTTTCCATTCGAACTACCTTTTTTTCAGGTTTAATATCTAACGCTTTTTTAAAAAATAATTTCCCAAAGAGGAAAAAAAACACATTAAAATTTCCTTTTCTAAAGGAAGGGAAAAAAATGCTGTTTCTGAAGCATAATGTGCCTTTAATACTATCACATAACCATTAAAAATTATTAATTGCACAAGTATACCATTTATTCTGTTGATTGCAATAAATATGTATATTGAGGGTTTGGTGCAAAAGGGTTGTAACTCATATTAAATAAAGAAGGAGTTACAACCCTTTCACACCAAGCTATCGAAAATTATTTATTATTATGTAAGTCTTCATAGCTCGAAAGCTGACAATGTAATCTGTGATTTAAACTTGCTTACAATGGTAAGTTTTAAAAGGGCAAACCAGTACATGAATACACCTTACCTTGAATCAGCTACAAATGGGAACACACCATTATAAAAGAACATGATTGTCAAAGCCAGGAGCCAATATGAGACGGAGAAATAACGTACATCTGTCACCCTCTGTAAGTGAAATAAACATAGACATTAGAGTAAGGGAGGTAACAAAATACTTAACTATGATCTCAGAGTCAGTGAGTTAACAAAATACTTAACTATCTAAAGAGTAAGGGAGATAACAAAATACTTAACAATGATCATAGAGTAAGGGAAGTAACAAAATACTTAACTATCTAAAGAGTAAGGGATGTAACAAAATTATTAACTACCTAAAGAGTAAGGGACATAACAAAATATGTAACTAAAATGTTTCAAAACAGTTATGGCACTAAATTATTCTTTTAATTAATCAAACCTTGCTTAAAATTTAAATGAAATTTCAAAATAAATATGGTAGGAAATTTTCTGTAACTGACATGATACAAATTAACATTTTTATAATTCTAACAATTTTTCACAATGCCTTAAACATAAATTATTACGTTAATTTTAGTCTACAATTTTGAAAAATGGTTAAGCCTACAAAATTTTGTTAATGTATGAGCATTATGGCCAATTAAAGGTAATATGGTTATTATTGATATTTACATGCAAAAAAATTAAAGATCTTACATTGACAATTTCACGCAAAAAGGACTTTCAATTTTTGTCATTTAGACAGATAATGGTAACAGCTGTTGATATAGGAAAAAAGGCCAAAAACAGGATAAAAATTGACAATCAGAGGCAAAAACATATATCTTACCACTTTTTTGGACTCTGTTCTAAGATTATCAGCATCACCAAGTTGTTTTACACCGTAAATATCTAGGAAGCTGACAATAATTGCCGACACAAATCCTAGACCACATAACATAGCTCCTGCAAGGTACAATGTATATTAAGCAAATTTAATAAACAAAAGTCTAACTGTGTTTAAACATGTCTCTGGCTTTGAGAAAGTTTATGTTATGTATCAGCTTAGTATAACTTTAAGACACACAGACACTGCTAAAATGTACAACAAGTTATCCATTTGGGAAAAATACCACAGGTCCTCTTAAATGTGTGTGTGTGTGTAGGTCCTCTGTGAGTGTAGGTCCTCTAATTGCCAGTGTATGTCCTCTAACTGTGTGTGTAGGTCCTCTTATTGTGTGTGTATGTCTTGTAATTGTTGGTTTTCCCAAGCAACAAGGTACTAATGTAGAACTGCATAATACATTAATCTAACTGGATAGAAATTAGTCAGCCTAACATTTTTTTTAAAACAAGCAAGTCTATATGATCAATAATGTACGATAAACATTCATTAAAAAAGGACATGCCCTTTTTGCCAGAAATCTGGTTGGTCAATAATAATATTTTCTAATAAGCAAATAAGTTTTATACAGTTGAAACTGTACTAACGGTCACCTCTTATCGGCGGTCACCTGACCTTAACGCGCCATTTTGTGACGCCCCAACGGAAAATTACTATTTTATACAAATCTGTTTCGACTGGTCCACCTGCTGTCCGCCGGTCCAACGGTCCACCTAAAATGCTTCCCCGAATTCTTAAACTACTATCATTTCTTAAGCGTCAGTGAGGGTGAAACGGCCCAGGACTGTAATTTGTTTTTAAAGATGACACGTGTCACGGATTAACAAAGCTACTTTGAGTCAGGCAGCTAGATATTAAAGACAAACCACAACATGTCAAGAAATTTTGCATAATTGCTAATCCGTATCGTAATAAAATCGTTTTGGAAAACGTCTCCACGCACTTGCAATCGTTGTCTTTTGAGTAAAAACTGTACTGTAACGCAGTTTTTTTTTTTCAATTTATTCGATTTAAGGAAAAAAAAAAAGAAGGAAAAAATGCATTGTCAATGGCGGAAAGAAATATTTTTATTTGTTTCCTTTTTATCAGTTTATCTCGATTCAGATAAATTTGGTGCGTACATGGTACTTACCAAAGAAATGAAAATGAATTACATCGCCAATTGTCTAAATAATCCTCAGTAATAAATTCATTAAAAACACTCGCTCCATGTTGAAAATAAAATTGCATAAATATAATGAGGTCATTGTTAAATCACACCCATTAAGTTTACATACCAGATGACCTCTAAGAGTAACTAGCGGGCTCTTCGAATGAATCTTTGATGTTTACAAACCTGTAGCCCTGCTGTTTCAATCCAAAACATCAAAGGAAGTGCCGACACTTAGATGACGTGTACACAATATTCTATTGATCAAAAGTTAGAAAAAGAAATCAAGTTATTTTGGAAAAAATACCAATTTAAATGTATTGGGGGACCAGAAAGGATATTTTAATGGGTATTTAATTGTTGTAACTTTTTGTAATCGTTTCTCCCAATGGATTTGCAAAAATTGAATTCAATTGGGAATTCAGTAATTTGTAAAAACAAGAACTAAGGCCAAAATGTCAAGAAAAAAGTGCCCGTTTAAAACTGTGGTAATAATAATATAAATAAAAATAGTTTTTTAATCGAAAAACTGAAAGGATGTGAATGGAAAACCAAACCATTTTGTATTTAAACACTATTTAAATTTACTGCAAAGTCCCTGATTTTCCCCTACAGGTTCTAAAATGTTCCAAAATCTTAAAACTTACATTTGTCCGATGTAAAGTTAATTGTTTAAAAGTACATGTCATGCAGATAAAATCCTAAAGTACTTTATGCATATATTGTCCCACCTCATTGTCAACTAAATCCGTTTAATAAAAACTTTGAATTAATTTAAAACCGCCGGTAAATTACTTTAATTACCGATCAATTTCCAAAAGATAATGCATTTCACAAGTTTGTTATTTTACCGTGTTTCAGTTTACTGATCAGATAATTGGGTAAACTACAAAAAATGAAAAGGAATTAAAATCCGCCAATTTTAAATAATCCTGCGGGGTTAAACATTTCTAAATATTAAAATTGTTATTCACCCCCTGTTTACATTCCTGATCTAAGAGGTAAAATGGCTCTTAAATTTTAAACTCTAATTTTACAAAATATCCCGTCCAATTCGAAACTTAAAAGAAGTTCCGGGAATTAGAAGTGTAAATATTCTATGATAAAATTAAAAAAGGGGAAAAAATTTTTTTGGAAGAAAAAATTGACGCTTTTTAAATTTATTTCAGAAGTTCGAAATTTGGGTTATTACAGTCGGACCCCGATTATTCGACAACCCTTTATTCGAATACACGGCATTATCCGAAGTAGATCGTCAGTCCCGTTTTTATCTCTATATAAATCAATATAAATACAAGCGTATTATTCGAAATGCATTATCCGAATACCTCCTATTTTTGGAAGTAAAATTTCCGTCCGAATTATACAATTATGAAAGAATTTCACACCTATTATTCGAAGCCAGTCTAATTATTATTCGAAGCCAGACTAATTGGTGCAGATCCACCGTCGGCTGACCGGTCGGAAGACTTGGGTGAAGATTTTAGCTGTAAATACCGTAGTGAACAACACGCGCCATTTTATCAAGGCTTGCGCCCGAAAACGAAAACGATACATAATGTAGAATAAAATGCAAGTATTTATGTCTTCAATGTCAATACAATAATTTGTACGCATTTTTTCTTTAATATTTATTTTTCTCAATTGATTACAGGAAGTAAGTGTGTTGTAAACGGTAGTTTTGCTATGATTGGTCAAAGTGGAGTAGTTTTTGTCTATCACAATATTCCGATTTCGATTATTCGAACCTATCGATTATTCAAAGTAAATGGTCAGTCCCAGGCACTTCGAATAAACAGGGTTGGACTGTAATTAGTTTCAATTATTGACATAATAAATCGTGAGTGCATTTATTTATCTGTGTTACATTCATGTAAAGCTTTATGTTGGAAGGAGTGTGTACAAGTTAAACCATTAATGGCATACCTTTGTAAATGGTTAAAAACTGATGATGATGATGATGTTGATGAATCAGACTGGTTTATTTATACTTAAATCAGATTTATTTTACAAATAAATGAATAATTTATTTGGATAAAAACCTGACTCTCCATTCAGCAGCCACTTGTCTTAAGCAAAATGACTGAATCCCTTGGCTGGCTGCTTAAGACAGTTTTGACTGTATACAATATGTTTTTTTTTTTCTTCAGCTCATTCAATGTCTGACTATTCAGTGTCTTAATCTTGTAGATTTCAGGGTTATTTTTTGGCTTTGTTTATAAGAAATGATAAGGGTGGATAAACATAAAGTTTTGCAAGTTAAAGTACTCTAGGATAAATTAACAAGATGCAATTATAATCATAAATGATTAGTGAAATATAGTAGAACTACCGGTACAAAAAATGTATTTAAATAGATTTCAGAGAGCAAAATTCTCTATCAGTTGGGATTGAAAAAGAAATTAAGAGCAGATTCAAGAATATTATCATAAAACACAACAATTTATAATATCATATACAAATGATGAAGAAAGACAATTTTTCAAAATCTATAACATGCATGTATTTTTCACCAGTTTTTTCCAACAAGTAATATATCCTTTTACATTTAACATAAATTGTAAACGAAAAAAATCTGTACCTCCCCAGAGAGTCCAATTCAGTCCATATGTGCCTTCAAAATTCTTTGTGAGAAAGAAGTTTAGAACACTGCCCAGTCGAGAAAAGGCCAGAGTTATACCGAATGCAAGAGCCAATTCTTTATTCCTGAACCAGTAGGCTGTCAAACGATTCTGGACAACTGTAAAAAAACAATATGCTCAATATATATAATAGGGACAATAAACTCAGTTACAAAATGTTGGATGATGAAAACAGGTATAGCTAAGTTGTGCTCATTGTAGCAGAAGCGTAGAATTATTTAAGCTCTATTTTTTGACACTGATCGAATAGTGGCCCATATCGCTATGCCTGAGAGGGGTTAGTGACACAGGAACATTTTACCATGATCAGTCTGTAGTTTATCACTTCATTACAAAGAAACCAAGGTCCAAGGGGAGTAGGATCAAATTGCTCCAGGATAATGCACCTGCGCACCGGTCAGCCTTCGTAAAGCTTATTTAGAGGAGTAGAGAATTTAGCTACATCCTGCTTATAGTCCTGACTTCTCTCCTTGTGACTTTTGGTTAAATTCATTCATCAAATCTTGCCTTCGTGGTCGCCATTTATCACAAACAATATTTTTTGAAACTTTCTGTTGCATACTACCTAAAATGATTGCTCTCTTATAATGTAATGTCCACAATGTGCAGCTGTGAGGTTTTTACATGTTAAAAGTTTAGAACCTATTTATGCAATAATGAGCCATGTCAAAAAGAAGGAAAACTTTTAGCAACACTTACTTGTCATAGACCCATTTCCTGATCCAAACAGGAGTCGTCCTAACAACATTACAGGCAGCATAGCTTTGGTTCCCTTCAACATGGCACCAACAGCAAATGTGCTGGATCCCAGCACAACCAGGAATGAAAACAGGAACAAACCAACTAGGAGTAAAGAAAGATTAATGTTTTGTAACTTAACAAAATCATTTTGTTATTTTACACAAACATGCTAAGAAAAAATATATAAAATTCAAATATCTCTTTGATATTGATATGCTTATCTAAGACCAGGCTACAGTGGCCTCTGTGGCCAAGTGGTTAAGGTTGTTGACTTTGAATCACTTGCCCCTCGCCGCTGTAGCTTCAAATCCTGATTCTCTCATGTGAGGAAGCTTTCCAGCTTGCTTATAGAATGCTGATGGTTCTACTCAGGTTCATGCCAGAAATAATGCTAGGAAAGGCATCTGAGGACTTATGACCTATACTGTGTTGGTGTAGCCTAAAACTCAACCAAGAAAAATGAATGACCAGACTATATTAGACATGCCTTACAGAATGCTCAAAATTCATACTGTACTGTATACAATGTATAGTGCTGATAGAAAGTGTACATACTTCTGTTGCCTAACTTGTCAATGAGGAATCCAGCTCCTATCACCACAAAAGCATTCCTGGAACACAAAAAAGTATGGTTTAACAATTAATCACCTTAAATGTCATTACTTGCCATAAATATATCTGTTCTTCTTGCTTGCCAATATTTACAAAATACTTTGAGTTTCAAAGAGACTGTTTCAATTGTGTTAGCTTAAATGTTCTAAATCAGTCTCTCCTATAAATTATCTTTCATCTTATATATCAATTTATCAGCAATCATATGTAAAACAAGGGCTGTAAATGGGCAGCATGCTCGACTATTCTCAATGCTTGATTGTAAAACAAGAGTTTGGATCACATAGAGTTTTCTAGGCTCAAAAAGGGCCATAGTTCTGTCAAAATTCATAGTGACCTCTTATCATACCCTCAGTACTCATTAGCTCTCCCTATAATCGCTCACCTGACTTATCAAACTCATCCAAACAATTACCTAGACAAGCATTCTGACCAAGTCTCATGACAGGTGAGTCAAAAATGTGACCACTACAGTGTTAACAAGGATTATCCATATTTGAGCAGTGCGACCTAGTTTTTTACCCAGGTGACACATATTCAAACTTGACCTAGAAATCATCAAAACAAACTTTCAGACCAATTTCCAGGATACTTGGATCAAAACAGTAGCAACTAGAGTGTTAACAAGATTTTTCTATTTTTAGCTCCGGTGACCTAGTTTCACATGCGATTTCGAACTCATCCAAGCAATTACCTAGACAAGCATCCTGACCAAGTTTGATGATAATTGAGTCGAAAATGTGACCACTAGAATGTTAACAAGGTTTTTCCATATTTGGGCGGTGTGACCTAGTTTTTCATCCAAGATGACCCATGTTCGAACTTGACTTAGAAATCATCAAAACAAACTTTCAGACCACTTAACAGAATATTTGGATCACAACAGTAGCCACTAGAGTGTTAACAAGAGTTTTCTATTTTTAGCTCCTGTGACCTAGTTTTTCATCCGAGATGACCCATGTTCGATTTATTCCCAGCAATGACCTAGACAAGTTTCCTGACCAAGTTTGATGACAATTGAGTCAAAATTGTGACCACTAGAGTGTTAACAAGGTTTTTCCATTTTTAGCTCCTGTGACCTAGTTTTTCATCCGAGATGACCCATGTTCAAACTCATCTGACCTATCAGCTAGACAAGCACTTTGATGAAGTTTGATGATGATTGATGCAAAAATGTGACCGCTAGAGTGTTAACAAGGTTTTTCTATTTTTAGCTCCGGTGACCTACTTTTTCATCCGATATGACCCATGTCCGAACTCATCCGAGCTATCACCTAGACAAACATCCTGATCAAGTTTGATGATGATTGAGGCAAAATTGTGACCTCTAGAGTGTTAACATGGTTTTTCTATTTTTAGCTCCGGTGACCTAGTTTTTCATCCGAGATGACCCATGTTCAAACTCATCTGAGCTTTCACCTAGACAAGCATCTTGACCAAGTTGATGATGACTGATGCAAAAATGTGACAGCTAGAGTGTTAACAAGGTTTTTCTATTTTTAGCTCCGGTGACCTACTTTTTCATCCGAGATGACCCATGTTCGAACTCATCCGAGCTATCAACTAGATAAGCATCCTGACCAAGTTTGATGATGATTGATGCAAAAATGTGACCGCTAGAGTGTTAACAAGGTTTTTCTATTTTTAGCTCCGGTGACCTACTTTTTTTATCCGAGATGACCCATGTTCGAACTCATCCGAGCTATCACCCGAACTATCACCTAGACAAGCATCTTGACCAAGTTTGATGATGATTGATGCAAAAATGTGACCGCTAGAGTGTTAACAAGGTTTTTCTATTTTTAGCTCCGGTGACCTACTTTTTCATCCTAGATGACCCATGTTCGAACTCATCCGAGCTATCACCTAGACAAACATCCTGACCAAGTTTGATGATGATTGAGGCGAAAATGTGACCTCTAGAGTGTTAACAAGGTTTTTTTTTAGCTCTTGTGACCTAGTTTCTCATCCGAGATGACCCATGTTCGAATTCATTCGAGCTATCAACTAGATAAGCATCCTGACCAAGTTTGATGATGATTGAGGCAAAAATGCGACAGCTAGAGTGTTAACAACTTAATGTGAACGGCCGACGGACAACGGCCGACATAAGACGGACGACGGACAATCATCGATCCTAAAAGCTCACCCTGAGCATGCTCAGGTGAGCTAAAATGTTAATTGTTGATGTTATCATTGAAATTTATTGTCTTTCAAATAATATTATACGAGGACATGCAATTGTACAGCTACTGTAATGATGAAGAATCCATATATGAGCCGCGCCATGACAACATAATGGGTTTGTGACCAGCATTGATCCAGACCAGCCTGAGCATCCACGCAGCCTGATCAGGATCCATGCTGTTCACTATCAGTTTCTCTACTTGCAATATGGTTTGTAAGCGAACAGCATGGATTCTGATCAGACTGGGCGGATGCGTAGGCTGGTCTTGATCCGTGCTGGTTGCAAACCCATTATGTTGGTTTTGTCATGACGCGGCCCATATCTTTATATTTGCTATATTTACAGCAATGTATCAGCCAATCTCATAGAACCAAAGAACTTCTCAATATAAGCTCAATAGTTTCCTTTTAAAATTTCAATCTTCGAGAGTTCGAGCGATCGGTGTTCGAGAGATCCAAGGTAGAACAATATATATTATATAGGAATTTTGCCGGGACTGGGGGATGAGTTCGAGCAAAGGGAGGTATTCAAGTGATCCGAGTTCGAGCGAATGAAGTTTAACTGTATTACCGTTGTTCCTTTCAAAGGGCAGCAACAAGTTACAGGGCTCACAACGTTTCAAGCAAAAACTTTGTCATGTATATACCAACTTTGCTCTCCTAATAATTTCCAGCAGTTTTTGAAGCAACAATATATTTTTCAGTCAGATGCTTTTAGGATAATGTCATAGATTCTTTTTTACGCCAGTTTAAACATACGTGTACCTTGTTATTTTGTAAGATGTCAAAAATAACAAGTTTAAATGCCACAATTACAGATTGCAAAAATCTCTTTTTTTTATTTCAGATGCCTTTTCAAGATTACAAATACAATGGCTTATTTACAAGTTTGTTTAGTTGTTTTTTAAGCCGATTTTAGTTTGACCATTATCATATCTTGGTTGTATATTGATATGGAAGCCCCCTTTCACTTTTGAATAATCTTTGCATGAAGTAAAATAAATAGTTTAATACACTTACGTCCAAGCATAAATTGCATATAGAAGATTGTAACTATCATCTGACATTCCAAGACAGTCATCACAAGTTACATTACATATGCTTACATTTGTTGTGGAATTTGCATCTGTACAATTTTTTTGTGTCTAAAATAAGTGAAACAATCTTGTAAAATTGACATCTTGTAAAAATATGATTAATTTATCATTATTTATTATGTTAAATTAATATTTTAAAGAATATTCTGTGATGCAGTCATCAAAATCAGGATAAGTATATACATATACAAGCAAATCGGGCTAGTAGTTATGGGTTACCGTTCAATATAATCAAATATAATATATTGTCACTGTAAATTTCAGAGGTTTAATAGCCTGAGAGAAAATCTTTTCAAGAGTCTTTTCATGCAGTAGCACTAATGATATATCTCTATCTTCCTTAGAGTCAACGCCTGCTGGGGACATAGACTTGACGCGCGTCAACTGACAAGAATGTCAGCAAAAGAGTTGAAATAAAAGAGTATAAAAGTAATAAAAATGAGTATATTGTTAAAAACAGGTTAAAAACAGAATAGGTATCTTAGGGAGACGTATGTTCAGTCCGGCTTACAGCCAGACTGAACTCAGGGCCAGACAAGTTTATGATATCAGGTGGTAAAGCATTCCAGTCGACTAATGTTCTTGGGAAAAATAATTTTTTATAGTAATCAGTTTTAGTTCGGACTTATTATATACTGATTTCTATAAAGTAGACATTTACTTCAAAATTTTCACTATTTTTTAGAGCCAATTATTGCAACAACTTCATCATTTGTATTAAAATGCATTCAAAAAATTCCATTCAAAGAACTAATTGACTGGCTTGTTATATTACATTAAATTACACAGCTTAGTTTGAAAAAATTTAGGCATCAAGTGTGATAATTGGATTAACTTATACTCACGTGTACAGTGCCTGTAAATGTGTCCTGAAGCACACTTGGCATATCAAAGCAAAAGTATGATCCAAATGTAAGCAAACAGTTAAAAAACAGCAACACAAATCTGTAAGCACCTGAAAAAAACAAATTTACTTACAATAAAATAATCAATAAAAGCAGTGATTAATCTAGATGTGCGTCTTCCGTAAAATACGCATAAAAATCTAAAAAGACGCACAGTTTCAAAATATGTGCGTTCAATTTGATGCATGCAAATCTGGTAGTTTATAATCCAAAATATCACGATTAATGATTTTTATGTACTGTTCGCATAAGAGCGAATGGCCTACAATGGTGAAATATAAAACAAAGTTGAGGCAGAGGTCTGCCTGCGCCATTGGCGTTAAAAAAAAATGAAAATTGCACAGGAAAATCGTCAGCAAAAGGCCAAGGGCGCATCTAAAATCTGTGCCAGACTTATATCGTATGTTATTTAGTCATCCAGACAAAACTGGTACCAAAAGCAACATGTTACCCATTCCCCTGTAATTATGCATATTCTTGAGTTTATCCATTTCCCTATAGCATTTTTCCAAGTTATCTACTTACCTAATCCCTTTCCCACACAGATACGCATTTCTACTACTGCATTTCTACTACCGTAATTTAATCCAATAAAGCAAACAAAAAATTATACAACTACTTAATATTTAAAATAATTATCGGTAACTGAAAAAAAGTGTTGCTACAAATGTATTTTAAAAAATGCTGTAAGTTACTGTACAGTATAATCTGACACAGACAGGTGTGCAAATTGATTACCCCTAAGGTCACTCAAGTTCACACAAGCTTTGGCTGATGGAGTGTAAAAAAAAAAGATGTCTATTTCGTCATCAGAATATTTGACAGGGTGATTAACCAATTCGGGAAACATTGTGCATGACTTTTTTTCATGATCAATTGAAGGTCAAACTGTGTATGCTTTCTACACAGAGGCATACAAGGAGCAATATTAAAAGTCGTCAGTACACAGTGTGACAGGGACATTTTGTGCAAATTACGAACAATTAAAATGGATAATGCACAGTATAAGACATAAGTAGTAAGAAAATAAATTATGCAAATTAGATTTTTGAGCAGCCAATAAAAAATGTTTTGACTGCAATTAATATATATTAGTACCAAAAATAACTTTTTTTATACACAAATTTAATTACTTAATCCCTTGTTATAAAAACATGCAAATCATGTCAAGGATCTGCTATTAAAAAAAAAAATTCTGCTAAGACGCATTTAATTTGCTACATGACTCATTGATTTTGCCAGAGGACTCATTGTTTTCAAACATGGCATTGTAAGGAATTTCTAGATTGATCACTGATAAAAGTATTATATTCTCAAGCTTGTCTATGTTGGTTTATAGCTGATTTTAAAATCTGGTCTCATATTATCAAATGACAATGATTTGCAGTAATATGGGCAATAATCTGTTAAATGAGGAATGTTGTCCGAAAAATAATTTATCCGGAATTTACAACATTTCACACTACATAAAATATCGCGTTTTCGAACATCAAACTTACGATCTTGAGCGTGGATCGCCATCTGTATTTACAAGGTTACTGATTTTCTGGTTGCATGAAATGTCTTTTTTGCAATGTTCAAATAAACGAAGTTTTGAACTTTGTTTTCTTTTGCTCAGCTGATCGCTGTGCTCGATTTCTAGGAACAATACTAAGTTGGCAAATATTTTAACCGAACGATAATTCTACGTACATAATGTATTTTATTTATTTAATGGACTGTTTTAAAATTTGTCGTTTTTCCCATTTGTTCTTTTCTGCGAAGTTTGCTATAATTTTTTTTAACTTGTGGCAAATGTACGAGGGCTGTCCGGAAAGTTCGTAGACAAGGCTATAAAATCATTAAAAGCAATCATATCAATATGATGATTGAATATTTTGCTAAAGTATTTATCTGCTACATATTTCTAAATATTTTTGTTTTTAAACAATAATTAATTTTAAATATGAAATTCATAAAGTAAAAGGAATATAACATGTATTAAGTATACGCCAGACAGGTACGGTGGCTGTTGAAATCGGAAGAAATTGAATAGCGGGTAAACATGAAGTTAATTTGACGCCGTTGACATTGTCAAAGTGCTCCATGATGATGTTTATATATTGTATGTAATTACTGTTAAAACACAAATGTAAGTCACAGTTCAGTAATTTTTTATAAATGTGTTCGCTAGATATGTATATTTTTGCTGACAAAATGTGTACAACGTATGTTTTGTTATACAATAAAAAATGAAGAAGTATATGAACTTTCCGGACATCCCTCGTAGATAGAAACGCACAATCAACCTAATAAAGATGAGAGTTACATCGGAAAAAATAATAACTTCAAAATAAGTTTACGTGAAAATCGATCAGTTTGTGTCAGCGAACGTCGAACGATCTACCCTCCCTAACCAGATGCCTATAATAGATACCATGTGATTTTTTTGTGAGGAAACCGCTTATTCTTGTGAATAACCTATAATTATGTAAAAGCTTTTAATTTTTTTAAATGAAATGCCGCGTTTAAACAAATATAAATTTTGGGGAAGAAATACTCCTCCTCCAGCCCTTTATTATAATTTGCACCATGGAGTGCACTCAGTATTTCCTTTTGACAAATGCACATGTGTATTGTAATAATTACGAACATCTAATTTGACTGTTCAAAATGTTATCTGAGACTTTCACGAAAATGATTGCCCCTGTCATGGTACCATTTATAACCATTTACTTTTCATTTTATCATTTGACAACTCAGATATTTATATACACTACGGAAATACAATAAGACTTTTCAAAGTCATAAATCATTATGACCAACTGCTTACCTAAATGTTTTATTTGTTGTTTTTTTTTGTTTTGTTTTTTATTAGTTTGTTTGTATTTTTTTTATTTATTTATTTTTGTAAGGATAAATCGGTCTTTAATATTCATAGCTACCGACTCTTTTCTTAAAAGCGGTCTGGTAAGCCACTTCCAGACCGCTTAACAGGTCTGTAACAAATTAAAAGGGTTCCTTCTTGGACAAAGTTTTAAAACTGTAAAGGTTACAGGCCATTTGTGGAATTCATAGGAATCCGTTTTCTATAATTGTCCTTATTTTCTAGAAAATATAAAAACAATTATTATAAACGCAGTCCCGTCAAATAGTTTCCCATTTTCACAGATTCAAGGATGGCACATCTGTCCATGGCATCACATCGTCTCATTGTGTTAATACTGACTTGTTTGGATTATAAAGCGCATTTGAGCCGTGTCACGACAAAACCAACATAGTGGGTTTGCGACCAGCATGGATCCAGACCAGCCTGCGCATCCGCGCAGTCTGATCAGGATCCATGCAGTTCGATTACAAAGTCTATAACAAGTAGTGAAACTGATAGCGAACAGCATGGATCCTGACCAGAGCGCGCGGATGCGCAGGCTGGTCTGGATCCATGCTGGTCGCAAAACCCCTATGTTGGTTTTGACGCGGCTCAATTTATTTTTCACCTTTGATTCCCTGATTCTGGTTCTTGTGCGTTATCACTACGGACACCGATTCATAATGAATGGGATTTGTAAATTTGCCCGGGAATCCCTCAAACCGCTACGAAATTACAGCTCGGACAAGAAAAGGTTTCTGCATTTTCTGCAATTGACTCCTTATCATGATCATTAACTATGAGCTCTTGTGTTCAACAGTTTTTTTAGGTGGACATATATTTGCCATGTAATTTGAGCCGCGCCATGACAAAACCAACATAATGGCTTTGCGACCAGCATGGATCCAGACCAGCCTGCGCGATCAGGATCCATGCTGTTCGCTATCAGTTTCTCCACTTGTTATAGGGTTTGTAAGCGAACAGCATGGATCCTGATCAGACTGCGCGGATGCGCAGGCTGGTCTGGATCCATGCTGGTCGCAAACCCATAATGTTGGTTTTGTCATGGCGCGGCTCATTTTATAAATCCGTGAATTAATGTCATATTCTAAGATATTAGAAGACTAGGCTTGTTATGATTATATGTTGTGCAAGCGAATGTAGTTTGATAAGAATTCTTAAAAAAGGATTTAAAACATTTTTTCAGGCGTGATAGATTAATAATTTTACTTCATGAACAACTGTACTAGGCCTTAAAGCATTAATATTAATATATTAATAAGACTTAAATAGAATAGAATAAGTTTTATTGGCCTATCAACTGTAATAATAAATTTTGTACAAGATATACCAACAGTATTAATTTTGTACAATATGTACATGACTAAATAAACATAACATAACTGGAGTATGATTAGGCAATTAACTCAGAGACATAGATAACAGAGATAGGCAACATCATATAGCCAGTTAAGATATCACACGTGCTTGCAGTAAAATAATAGAAAGCTTAATGATACATTTGTCTATGGCTGCAGGTAAAAACATTAACATGTTACATGTTATCTACATCGCTGATTAACACAGTTGACATAGGCATTGTTAAATTTTTGAAATAAAGCATATTAAATGAAAATAACGAATTAAGATGATATAACAACAACAACAACAACAATAACAATAATAATAATAATAATAATTAAAGTAATAATAATAATGATTATAATAATGATGATGATGATAATAATGATAATAATAAACACATAACTCGAATATGCTTAATATGACCCTTTACCTTCATGTAACTCTAAATATATGTAACATGTTATTTACAAATAATTGTGAAGTAATCTACATTAGTACACATATGATTTATAATTATTGATAAGAAATGAGGATCTAGTAGAAAAACACGCGTCAATAAAGTTTGCTACATCAGTAATAGATTCTTTCACTACACGCATCATATATGCATATACAAACTAAGACATTTCTCTCGAACAAAATATATGTATTATCATTCATTATATAAATTCATTATAAATCACTTTAGAACTCTTATCGACATTTTCTTTAAATGATATTTCGTTTTATCAATATCTGAAGTACTTCCGGACAATGTGCTCATTATAGACCAATTCAATGCTACACTAGTACATGTGTTTAACAAATAATACTACATAGGTATACATGTATGTATGCTCATATAATTTATTAACTGAAGTCATAGTTTATTTTTAGAACAGCCTCTAAGCGCATGCGCAGTAATAAAACATGTCTAAACATCGCCTTTATTTACCGGCCTATACATGCTATATAAATAGTAGGAGATAGCTCTTAAACTGCAAGTAGAAGAATATATCAATATTGCTACGAGCTTGAATTTTTTTTCAGGTAAGTGCCTTCTTTTAAAAAAATCTTCTCTCACATTAATTGTAGTACATTAACATCGCTGTATAATTTGCTACAAAAATGTTAACTGAATATTGATTTCACGTGATCTAGAAACGGTGTTAGGCTGGGTAAATAATTGTTCGCTGCAGACCGAGCATATACAAGTTTGCTTCTTTAAAAAGAAGCATGCGAGAGGTCTTTTTGCTGCTGTGGAAAATTTGTTTAATTCGAAAATATTTGGGGATATTTTGCATAACAGACACAATGAATGTTTATAAATTAGAATTATTAAACAAAATATAATTTATTATATATATTGCAATGAAAGTTTGTTTTACATTTCATCTTTTTTAATGTTTGAAAAGATTATATGCCGGAGAAATGGACTTTTTTCTTGGCGCATTAGGGATAATTTTTCTACAAATTTTTTTTGTAAAATTACTTAATGTAAATTAAATGATATATACCATTTACATTTGTATTTTAAATTCAGTTACCTTTGTAGAAAAATGATATATATATTAAAAGTATTTTCAAAATAAATGTTTCTTGTAAAGTTCAATAAGCAAATTTTCGGTCACTGTTTTGTTAAATATAAGGAAGCATTTCCTCTACATTTTCCAAAACGAGTATAAAGTATGTTAATCAAACAAGTTTACATCAAAAATGTTGATATCATTTGATTGCAATAAACAGTAAATACTGTTATATACTGTTATATACTGTTATATACTGTTTATTGGAATAAACAGTATATAAAGCTGCATGCCTCCAACCACAATATTAAAAGAAAATCAAACTTGAGATAAAATTTGTGCCATTTGCGCCATAAAATCTCCCTTTGCGTTATTTAGATATAACGGTTCAATACAGGGTTCACTCGGTCATATAATATGTTTGTTTGTTTCATTGTACGCCTTTTCCCAACAGTATTTTAGTCATATAGGCGGGTAGTTTCCTAACCATCGTTCCTGGAGAGTTACACCAGTACTAGACAACCTTTCTTCGCGCTAAACTAAAAAAAAGCATCTCCCGGGGATCGAACCCACGCCAGAGAGTTTACTGGATTACAAGTTATCGACTCTAACCCTCGACCACGGAGGCGGTATATATTGTGGCATGGTGATATTGTACATAGCTATAATGTTCACTGTAACTATTTATCAGAACATGAAATAGTAAAACGTTATTCAGAAAACAATACGGTAATCGATTTATACAGTTACGGAATGAAGCATCCATGCACGTAGTGTTAAATAACGTAAATGATATTTTCCGATTTTTCTATGTACCGATTTGTTCACTTCGATGTTAATTTTTCGTTTAAGTAAAGCCGTGTTTTGAAACGGGGCATGCGCAAAACAATTTTTGTAGACTGCTCCTAATGATTTTACGCTTAAAATGAGATTCATTCACTGCAATCAGATACGCAAAAATGGATGCCGCCAGCAATCAGTCTGAACACTATGGAGAGGTCTGATGACCTCTCCAATAATACCGCTGTGGACGATTAAATGCATTGTTAAATACTAATGTATTTTTGTATTGCGATTAAAATTAACTTATAATGAAAATGATCTCTTTCAAAAACTAAGAGTGTATGCATAAATTAAAATAATTTAGAAGATAAGTGCATTGTATACACAAAATTAAATTCTGCATTTTCCATTTTGCGTAAATCACCCATTTTTCTTTTAATTTTATCATAATGAATATGATAAAAATCTTAATCTGATTTGCACATGCCTCTACCTGTTTTTTAACTACATAATGTTAACTTGATATCGGTAAAACGAGACATGTTTAAGCCAAGGACACATTTAGCAACCGATATACGTGTATTAGATATTAAGTATCAAATGCTAAAGTGCATGTTCAAGGTTATCTACAAATCTAGAAGATAAATTAAGATGTATTGATCCATCATTTGTAATATTGATTAATCTATTTCAAAATAAAATGATTTTCTTTTTATTTTCAACAATAATTTTTATTTAACTGCAAGTCATACTTAAAAATACGAGTATTTGAGAGATAAAAAAAGAATAAGCAAATAGGTACAAAAAAGATATGCAGGTTTAATTGATTTTAAAATAAAAAATATTTGCTTTGCATCTGCTTTAACATAAAATATCGTCAGACATTACTAATTTCCAAGTCTTGTTTATCTTATAGTTGTTTGTTGTAATTAATTGATAAATCAATTTATTGATTAATACGTTTATCGTATTTGATCAACTTTTAAATAATTACTGCCTTTTCTTTACCTTAGATAAATTATAATGCAATTCTAAAATGAAACTGTATCCTTAAATATATAGTTGCACTTGAACTTTCTTTTTCTTTGGATAGTAACGATGGCTATGAGTTCGAAGCAGAAGGGGGCAATGAAGCGCCTTGCAACTGATCTAAAGGAGCTCCAAGAACAGCCAGTTGAGAATGTGTCGGCTGCCCCACTTGACGAGAACATGTTTGAGTGGCACTGTAACTTCAAACATGACGAGATAATATACCACCTGATCTTATACTTGCCCAAACAGTATCCCTACGAGTCGCCAAGCGCAGAATTTGTACCTGCTGGTTTTAGGTATGTCTACTTTATATATTTCATCATCCATACTATGCTTTCGATATCATATGACGAGTACAAATATGTAAAATGTGCATTATTTAACTTAATTGTTGGTACCCCTGAATTCCCTCCTGTGTTTATATTGTGCAACTCATTTGTAATAAATGAAATAAATTAATGTGACCTTCCCCCAAGTGTGCCTCACCTCTTTTTAATAAAGTAGATTGTATGTACGTAGATGATGAAATTATGTGTATTTTTATTTCCTTGTCGCACACTTAAAGATGTAATTAAACGTTGTGTCCGTGTAATTGTATCTGTATCATGTATCGCATACCATCATCTTGAATATTTCAATTTACTAAGCAAAGATATCATATATAAATTCCTGTCTATTTATACATCTAAGTTTCACAAACAAAAACCGACCAATTCAATTTTTTAAGAGTTCAGGAATTTACAAATATCTCAGACATTAATATACTATTCGTATTGTGTACTATTCGATATTGTGAAAGAAAATCAATTGTAAAAGAAAATACGTTTTTAAATTTAAACGTTTTTACACATTTAACCCCAACACCGTGAATGCGAGCAAATAACCATATTTAAATTGTATATTGACATTGTAAACATGCAATGTTTGTTACATATAACAATAACAAATTGGTTGTTGTCTAAAAATCTCGAGTTTAAACGTATAAGAAGTGTTCGTACATTTTCAAAACGAGTCAATAGACCGATATTAGAGACTTGTATTAAAACAGGGTGGTTATCGGGAGTTTTATCTGTTTATTTGTTACTCGTTCATTGTACCATTTATACAAGCATACAAGCTTGTTCTTGTTTATCTATTTAGTTAATACGTCTAGCGCTGTCCTCATGACCGTTACCTATAAAATGCATATAAAGATTACTTTATAATTTAGATACAACAGTGGTGCAACAATGCCTGGAAAAAAGGGAACTAAAGTCTGCCTCAACATATTTGCTGACTTTGCATATATTCACACAGAATGGAAGGACCAGAAGGGATTGGGCTGGTCTCCCGGTTACACAGTCCAGACTATTCTGATGAACGTTGTTGCTTTCCTAGCCGAAACCCAGTCCGGGGATAACTCATGGATGAAGGACACAGCTAAGCACAATCTTAAACTGTCCAAAGACTTCAAATGCGCTGACTGTGGGCACACTTACGGCAAACCATACCCTCCGCTTGATACACCAAAACCAAAACTTAAAAAAGGCAGCTCCAATGTAGGAAAATCAAAGGGACCTCAGATCATAGATTATATGTCAAAGGAGCATTTCAAAGCTGAAAAACCAAAGTCAAACGATGAAATTTATGGTTATGGTCTTATTGTTTCTGGTCCACCTCATAGGCCTGCTTTGACAACTCCTTGTGAATTCCTACAACTGGGCTCATTCAACAGTATGAAAAATGCCACTGGAACGGTGCACAGTGTACTGAAGGAAGAACTGAAATACTTTCTACCACTTTATATACACCCAAAACATGGCGAGAATATAAAGGCGCTATTTGAAAAGGTGTTAAATGAAGATATTGCAGCATTGTTACCTAAATGTAAACCGAATAAAACTGCCATTGAAGAGATGGTAATTAAGACGATACCTAATCTGATGAGTGCAACAGTAGTAGAGTTCAGCAAAGGGACACAACACACCAGCGACAACAGCTTGAATGGGTATTTTGCTTTGCACCGTTTGCTGCTTTGGGCGTTAGAGACGTACCCAGATCTTCAGAAAATTATTGACCAAAGACTACAGGTAACAAAATCCATATATATCAGTTCTATATATTTTCAGTTTGTCCAACCCGTATTCAGTTATGCGACATCTTTATGGATAATCCTTTAAGATGGTTTTGAAAAGACGACAAAATATCTTTATTAAGAGTGATAAATGCTGATAGCCCATGAGGTTTTTTTGACACATGAAAACATGTATATCAAGAAATGTATTAACACCACAGACAAATTAAAAACAGACACATATATAAAATATAAACGTATTTCAATAATGTTGTTTCTTTCAGGTTTTTATAGCAGATGAGAGTAATCGAACTAAGAAAGCTTGTCCTCATATCGGAGAATGGCTCATGCTTTTATCGGCCTCGTGGAAATATAGGTTTGTACACTTGGACAGATAAGTTAAGAGAAAGAGAAATTCTTGTATGTTAACAATAAATAAAGCAGATACATGTATATGTATGTTAACGTGGACATAAAACAGGAATAGAATTAAAATTAAATAACTTCGTGAATAAAATAAATAGAGAAAAGCGGAATTCCTAAAGAACGCCTAAACGACAAAAGTGAAAATGATGCAGACTCATTTTGATTGAGCTTGTTGCTGGACGGTACTGGAAAATGCAAGTTACCGCCCACGCCCCCCTAGCACTGGATTATGCAGAATACAATATTTGATCATGGTAATGGTGACATTTGTAATTTAGAAACATTTGCAATGTTCATAGGAACTTTCATAACGTTAGTGCAATTCCATGAAAAACTGGAAACAATAAATAAGTTAGCAAAAGCATGAAAATAACAAGATGATAATGAGGTTCCACAATCATAAGATACATTTTCATCAAATGTTTGTTTTTCTATATATTGAAGTGCGAGTGAAATTCAAACACTGCTGTTAAACGATTGGGCCATTTATGATAGGTCTGTAAGTTTTTGAACAGGATCTTTTGAAAGTTGTCATTTAAACTTATTTAATATGTAAATTTAAATGCCATATAATTGATAATTGTTTTTTTATATTTTAGATGGGAGGATGCAGCTGATGCTTATCTGTCAGAAAGTATGAGGCGTCAAGTGATGTGGTATGTGAAAGATGATGCTAAGCTTGGAATGCTTGACACAGATCAGAAATACCGGTTGGACAACACACTTATGAAAACTGCTGTTAGCAGAAAACTTCTTGCGTTTCAGGTAATGCTGTATAATCAATGAACTATTTTACCATTTCATGGCTTAATTATGTTAGTTAATTGGGAATCATTGTGATTGCAAACAGGACAAAATTAAAAATATTGCTTGGTTTGTTGGATTTTGGGTGTTCTAAGATGGCAGTGGTTTAAGCAAGCTGTCGTTCTATGCATCTTAGCATCGGCTATAGCAGAATTTAAAATGTTCCAATACGGCAAAGTATATTTATAGATATAGCAAACAGCTGTAGATAAACACTAAATATTTCATAAATGAAACGTATCGAAATAAACACAGTATTTGTGTACTATTGATAAAGTTATGATTAAACTATATCCATAATCTTTTGTTTAAACTGTAAGGTGATAGCTACCTCAAGTGTGCCACCATTCCAATTTTAAAACCCAATTCACATATGAGTAGCAGTTACGGATTGCATTTCTAACTTCGTAATAATTATAACAGTGTTCTTAAATCCTTGGAAATATTTATTCCTACCCTGAAAGCACATAATGAAAAGTTATACTCAAAACAAGTAGTATTATCCTTGTAATGTTTAGTTTCCAATTTTTTATTTCTTTTTTTTTGTACAGGTTTTATTCTTGGACATTGCAATGCCGAAAGGCAAAAGCCGAAAAGACCTCATAAAACGTTACGATGACAATCTAGGTTTCCCAACCCCAGACATGGTAAAAATGATGAAAGAGTCTGTGGACACCATAAACAATATGAAAACATTTGCTGATTGGTACAAGGTAAGGCAAAGAATCATTTTAATCACTTATGAAATGAAAAAAAAAAGAAAAAAAATGTGTTGAAGATTTCTTTTGATTAAATGTGCGATTTTGTTAGTAATCTGTAAATGAGATTTTATTTCCAGATCAGTCCTACAGTGTTTCGCATGTTCTTTTTCTTTTATTTAATGTTTATTATGATCCAGGGAATATACAGAGCCAATAAATGTTACAATAGCTAAGTTGTTGGTCACCTCGTTAAGTGTTTCAGTGTGATCCGTGATTGGGTTATCCTGTTCTGTTATAAATTAAAGTTAAATTGTAAAAAAACAAAGGCATGCCGCAATTTCTTATCATGTAAATCAAATGATCAGCATCTTTTCTAAATAATTAATATGCATGCAGTTATAGGTTAAGTTATAAATATATTTGGACAATCCAATAACAATAATGTAATTGTAAATGTATGAAAAGATAATCTAATTAATTCGTGTATGACAATTAATTTATACAGGTTTTGAAATTAAAACCACCCACAGAGAAAGAGTTGTTCGATAAGTATGTAAAATGTGTAGAGTATTCCATCTGGACTGATGGATATAACTGGTCCTTCTGGAAGACAGGCGGAGGTTGGGGCGAGGTACTGCGCCGATATAAACCATACAAGCCTAAAGAAAAGAAAGAGGGTGGCGAAGAGAAAGCTGAAAAGGGCAAAGGAAAAGCTCCTGTTAAAGTATAAAAATGCAGTCTTTTATTTGTAACCTCTTTACGTGCTTTACTTTAAAGTAATGTGAAAACTTCTTGAAACTGATATTTGTTGGCGAACTCATGACTTGCGAATTGTAAGAGTAAATTGTAATACTACTGCAAATAAAATTTGAAAAACGTATAGGTTAATTTTTACAATTTATAGCGACTTCAACTTAATGTAGCTGGTACTTGTAAATGTAACTATTACATTTTCATGAAAACATTCAGTTATAACAACCTTTTTATGATTTGTGTATCATTTACTTAGCTTATCAGTTGTGCATATCATACACGCCTAAATGTATATTTACAATATCACAACTGGTGACGGACAATATGTATACCATAACTGTTTGATATATTATGTAAAAATATTTATTTCAGGGACCTGCAGTTGTGAAAGGTGTTAAAAAGGGAAAACATGCTCCGATGGATGAAAGCGAAATCGAAGAGGAAGAAGCCAAACCTAAAGGTCGAGGTCGAGGAAAATCACCTGCTGCAAGAGGTAAAGGGGGTCGTGGAGGCGGAAAAGCAGGCCGAGGCAAGAAGGCAGTAGAAAGTTCTGAAGATGAAATGTCCGAGGAAGAAGTTAAACCAAAGGGTAGGGGAAGAGGCCGAGGTAAAAGATCAGCCGATGAAGCGTTTGGGGCTAAGGCAGTTGGTAGAGGAGGCAAGAAAAAGAAGTGATCAAAATGTTGGTTTGGTGACCACACTGTGCCTGATTAAGAATATTGTCATACGGACAAGATTGTTAAGTTGTTTAAATTTTGACATGAAAATTGAAAAGCAGAACAAAATGTTTGCCTCAACCGTAATTCTGTTGCGAATTATGGTAAATCTATTATGTAGAACTTAATGCATAGTCAACCCTTTCAAAGGGATTTTGAAATGGACTTAAACATTAATATTTATTTTGTCTTTAGCTAACTAATTGTTTTGTATTTTCATTTAATTGCGTCATAAATACTAAAATAGATATCAGTTGTTTAATACATAACGTAAGATATGTTGCATTTATTTGTTTACCACTGTCATTTATTTTCTTTTTCTTTTAAAAAAACTTACTTTTTGTATCACAATACTTTAAATCACTATAATTAACATGTTCCTAATGCTGTCACTGATTACTCACATTTACCATATAAATGAAATGTGACCGTTATAAAATACATGTATGTTGAATCGCTACAATGTTTGATTTACATATCAAAAATGTGTATTGAATAAAAAAATGTTGTGACAAAACTAGTACATTATTTATTCTGAAAATATGAATAAAATCAACGAAAGTTAATTTGAATTTTCAAGAGAAGAGTTGGTCCCGTAGTTAAACTGGAAAGCCAATATCTCTTCGAGATTCAGCACATCAAATTGGTGATTAGTTTACATACATATCCAGTAACATAGGAATGTGAATTAAAGCATAAATTGTGCAATAGGAACGCAAAATTGTGCAAAATCTATGGCCGAAACGACCACCACGGAAAGTAAATTAACCAATATGTTTCGTTTTTGTTTTGGGTTTTACGTCTCATCGACACAGTATATATAGGTCATATCGCGACGTTCCAGCTTTACTGGTGGAGGAAGACCTCAGGTGCCTTTCCGTGCATTATTTCAGGCACGAACGGCACCTGAGTAGAACCACCGACATTCCGTAAGCTAGCTGGATAGCTTCCTTACATGAAAGAATCCAAAGTCCCTGTTGGGATTCGAACCCACAGCTGTGAGGGGCAAGTGAATATGTTTCGTAGAATATCAATCGAAAGAAATTTATTAACGCATATGTCCCATTAAAAATATTCTCAGGTTTTAAGATCATTCGTGAGAATGGCGCCCTTATTTTGTATTGAAGAAGATTTTTGTAAGCAAATACCTTTAATTAAAGCCATAGATAAGTCGGTGATCCAATGTTACCGTAACAAATGTCACATAATCACCCGCCGTTATTCCTCCGTTACTGGATATACACGATGATACTGTTAAATATTATTATAGTTTCTAAACCAACAACGTGTAACGGTCAATCTTACACTGTTCACTTATTATGGGGGAGAATGTCAAAGCGGCCAAATAGCTCAGTTGGTAAAGCCGAGGTACGGTTATGCGATGGTCCTGGATTCAATTCCAGGCCAGGCTGTTCATTTTTCTCACCCTGAAACAAACCGATTAGGTATTTATCAGTATCTTTAAGAATCTGTCCAGGCAATCTAGTCTTGAATAAAGTATCTTCTTTGTAGCTCTTTGTGCATCATGTTAACCGGTGTAAATCAGAGAAACTAGAGGAAACTATTACTGTATTCCCTGAGGCTACATGTATCACCGTGGGTTAAGATAAGAATCATTAGATAACCATGTGACATATATAACTACATGTATATTGAAGTTGAAGTTGAAATTTTGCAAAGTTCTACTTTTATTACACCACACCTACATCGAATGCTCAAACTGAACGTTTGGCCAACAGTCCTAGCTAATGGTCATTGTCGCAGAATGATACATGTATTCTGATCAATGCAAAACTCGTAGGAAAAAAAACACTATATGTCTTTAAAAATGTCATAATATTTAGAGCAAAAACTCACTTTCAGGGGCAGTTTTCCTTATTTGCCTTTGTAAAAATAAAAATTTCCAGATTGGGGAATTTTATAAATACCTTAAAAGAACATTCCCCTTGATCTAGTAGCCTATTTAATTCGGCGTTAACGGTTTGACCCATTTTTCAAAAGTTGTTTTTCAAACCGTTTTTTCCAAACCGTTGGAAAAAGACATCGCCCGTCCAAAATTATCGACAAGTCTAATTAGTCGGGTTTTGATCTAGTAACCACTGTCTACTTTGTATCTGTCTCTGAGTACTGCCAACCCCTTTCGCACGTGTTATAAGCAGGAATAGTGCACGTCAGACGTGTTAGTAAATGGTGTAAAATGAACATTATCAGGACAATGAGAGACTTGAACACTTCAAGCCATTGTTAAAATGTTTTTATTAGTAAGAGTGAAGGAAGGATTAAAACAAAAAACACAACTTTTATGTTTTCTCCAGCTTAGAAACATTTTGGGCTTTTGAGAAAGCTACTTGACAAGTTTTTGTGACGATTTTAAAACGACTATCCCGCCACGCACAAAATTCAATGTTCTATTATTCTAAATTCTAATCAAGTACGCTAATGGCGGCGCCCATGGTTTCAGGAGTCATCAAGACACCAGAATCATTTCCAGTTAAAACAAAGCAGGTTTATGGACTAACATTCTATTTTATTGTACCCTTTAACTACCATACGTGTCCATGGATTTATATTTAACATGTACCTTTTAAGTTCTTGGAATAATTTCAATTATTACGTGTTTTCGCGATCATGCTAAACTGTTATGATATTGCACTGGCATCAGAGCTTCAAGTTGCTGTCAGTTATTCATTTTTATGTGATATAAATATAATTGTTCCAATTTGTTGATACAATACAATAAAATCATCAAAAAATACACTTAAGCTTTCTGTCTTCTAGCTGATATAAGTCAGATGCTGTTAAATCATTGTTCTGACTTCTGGTAATGAAGAGCATGGAAATTTTAGGGGAAAATATTAGCAATTTTGGGGGAAAATATACCTATTTTGGGCTAGGGGAAACAGCCTTTATTCGGCTGTAAAATACAGTAAAATCACTGGTCTTTGATTCTTTATTACATTTATTAGTTTATATATTCATGTTGTTACCTTAACTAAACAGATATTTACATATTAGATTACCGGTCTCACGATAATATGAAAATAGGCAAAGCCTATGAACGGGGAAGTAGATTAAAAAATAGTTCAGGTTTCATTTGGGAATTTTTGCACTGCTTCCCTTTTATGCTTTTCTCTCGTCGATTCGATTGTTTTGAAAAATTGCACTTGCACAACAAATATCAGACATACATACAGTGCAATTAGTGCATTTGTTAAATAAATTCATTATCTAAAAGTTCAAAAACTTTAAATAACTTCTAAAAACAACCGCTCAAAGATTAGAGCATCTGAACATGTCAACAATGACTGTCTTGCTCAGCTGGAAGCTTACCCATCGATTCGTGAAATCCCATTCACACTGTGACGTCATCAAAATATAGGTGTTCACGCCACTAAATGTTAGCATGGTTATTTTCAGTCCGATCTGATCAATATATGTTTAAAGGTCTTAAGTTAACTTTTACAGCATTATGAATTCTTTTTTACTTGTTTGTTAGTGTGTTTGATAAATTATATCATAAATATTGAATATTTTAAAGTAACTAGGTCATCAAAATGGAATGTAGGGTAAGCACATTTACACCTGTACAATTATGCATTTTGATTTGATAGAATTATCGAATCGAGTGTCTACTAAAACTTGTGTAGTTTTCGGATGGTGTATCATACAGTATGTCCTTGCAGAAGTATTTATACCAGACATTTATTAAGGTCACAAATCAATGGGAAGGCACAAATCGATGAGAATAAGGCATAATTACAGACAGTTCACTATGATATTTATTTGAGAATAATGTCTAACAGAAGCATAGCTTGGTTTAGACTTATGAGTAGGCCAGATTTTTGGATGGTCTGAGGGACTTGCACCCCCAAGAAATGTTTTTGCTCTGGCTTGTTGAAGATGGGTTATGGCATATATTTAGTACAACAACTATGTTCAGGGTCATTTTATGAAATTGTAGGTACACACATAAATTATATATGTTTTTTAACTTTCCTTGAAAAGGTGAAGGCCATTGCCTACTTAGTCATAACTAACTGAAAGCTTTTCCAATAACTTGTATAATTTATTGACTTGTAATATTTGCTTTATTTCAGGTTGCAGTCGAGATTAACAAGATAAGAACAGAGTTGATTTGTACACAGTTTAAAGACAGAATCTTTTTCATAGTGACACAGTACAATAAGATTGGTACATTGGTATGTAAATTAGAATAATTTCTTTTATTTTCTTTATACATCCATGCCGTGTTAAAATATTTAGATATATTTATTTAAGGTTGAGTATGAAGCAATTTCAAGTAACATGATGATGTGAATAACTTTCCAGCCCACTTTCTTGAACTTACCAGTACTTGTTTCATTTGAGGATGCAACATGGTGGTGGGCTTGAATCCAAATCCCATAATGTTTTAATTTACTCAATTTTCTCATTGTCACTTTGCTAAGATTTCCCATTTTAAAAGGCATGTTTGATGGGGAAAATATCACAATTTTACAGTTTTCTTTCCAATTTTATATATCAAACAGTTTTTGCATACAGTATGTAAAATATCATCTGTTTTCATCAACTTTACAGGTAAAGGTGACACAGAACAATATCACTGATGACACTGGTACTGGATTATCTATGTATAGTACAGACATACTCATGGGAAAAGATGAGGTAAACCCTATACAATTTTGGATTTGACCATTTATCAAGTTTTAGTTAGTCAGCCATCAGTATAGAACCTGGCCTGGACTGCACAGGTGTGCAGGCTGGCCTGGCTCTACACTGGTGGCAATGGATAATAACTTTGCCCCCAAGGTGGGTTCCAGAATGTTAAAAGTTAAAGATTTTCTATGAGAAGCCTGTTGTAGTTCTAAGAGAAAGCTCTTGAGATTTATGATTGATATGTTAAGTCCATATTTTTCAAGCAAAGCATTCTATAAAATAAACCTGATGGTCTCAAGTATTGTACTGAAATGTCTGCCAACTATGAAGAATAAAAGTTTGCACACTATAAACAACACTATCAACTTAACATATCTACACCTTGTTGAAACAGCATAATCTGTATACATACAATTTAGTGGTTTGATCATGTTGGTTTAATTTACTTGGCCCCCCCCCTCACTGCTTTTGGTTAAAACCATTATTTATAGGTGAAGTAGATATTCAGTTAGCTTCAATGTTTCTACTTCTGAATCAGTGGTGCTTTGAACCATCACTACCCTTTCTTTGTGCCTGGTTCTTTCCTACTGTCCTATTGGATATGTTTTTTAGTCATGACATTAGGTAAATACTGGAAAAGATAGATCAGTTTCAGCAACTGACAAATTAAGAATTTTTCATCTAGAATTTTGATAAATTACAATTTAGATTCCATAGTGTCAGTGAGACTGCCCAGGAGCTTTGTTATACTTCAGTTTGTCTTTCTCACCCCTTATATGGAACTCACCATTTTAATTAATTCTGTGTGTTCTTTCACCAGTAATATGTTGAAATCACCATCAAATATCTGTGACTAAAATTTTATTTTTGTACTTTCAGCCATTGACGCATGTGATTGCCAGAAATCTTATCACAGAGTTGTCGGTACATAAACCAATACTGCTGTCATTTGCTCTGAAAGACACCACAGCACCGACGGTAAAAACAATTGCCAAGATTCTTCCCTCCATCGTCTAACTGTCTGTATTACTGTCTGCTTACAACAAAACTGTACTGAAAACTGAAAAGAAAATTTGAGTGAAATAAGTGAGAAGGCTAAAGAAGGATTCAGGGATTGTGTTGATGAGTGTCGAAGGCATTTGTTAAGAAAATTTGAGTATTTTGATTATGGTCAGTGATAAATAGTGAAAGTTAAAGAGTAGTAAATTCAAATACAGAACTTACAGTGTAGGAATTGGGTACCATTCTAATAGAACTACATTTTGAAATACGTATATGTGTGAAAGTAACTTGATATTGGCATTTTGTGACAATACTAATTGAGAGAAGGAATTAATGCAAACAAAAAATTGAGTTTGTTTAAATTTTGTAATAATTCTTCTTGTATCTTTTGCATTGTATTCTCTACAATGGATAATATTGGAGTACAAAGTGGCAAACCTACGTTTATAGAGGAAATAAGTCAATGTCAGGATAAAACAACACTGTTTGGACATTCAGTAAACGTTGTAGGTAGACTGACGGTGCATGACGTCGGCACTTGCTTGGCAAAACTCTCAGATTCGCAGAGTAAATCTGAAATATGTATAGACACGTCACTGATAGAGCCTTTCGAGGCAAGGTTTGGTTCCCTGTTTAATATGATAGGGGAGCTGGAAGTTGGGAACCAGAATGATATCGTGTTGAAGGCACGTGTAGTTAGGTGTGTAGATGGACTGGATCTGTCTCTGTACAGAAAGGCAATAGAAAGCCAGAGAAAATATTTAGAGCTAAGAAATGCAGTTTGACCAAAATCATGCTCTTTTAAAGACATTCAATGAACATTTGATTTTCGTAACTGATATTTTTAATGTTCCATTACACAATCATCTTTTTATCAAAACTTGACTGCTTAGGCAGGCAAAACTTTATTTCAAGTTGTTTTAGTTACTTGTTTTGGCCAGCCTGAAATATAGAGCATATATCATGGTCATATCCATTTTTATACATTGAACATTCCTCATGAAATAAATATGCATGTATAAAAATTAATAAATTGTTTGATTTTTGGAGTTTTACTGTCAGGGGAAACAATCCTTCATTATTTTTGTGATGATTTTTTTCTTGTACAGTCCCTTGTTCATTGTTAGATGTCAAGCTCTAGTTATTTTTCACCTCAGAGGTGCTCCTTAAACATTAAAACAGATGATGTATCTATGTGTAATACTTTTTGGAGGTATAGCCATATTTATACATACAACATGTATACTGTGTGATACAGAAAGTTTTTTTTTTCTTAAAAAGAAACAGGACTTAAAAGTATTTTAGGTTGACCAAAAAGAAAAAGAAAACCACATTTTCTTTGATGCTACTGTTTGCAGTTAACATATTTGTTACAAATGTAAAAAGGAAATACATGAAGCACCCGTTTATTTTTTTCTGAAAGAATATTAAGTTGCACACACCTTGTGCCTGTGGTCATAAGTTTTAGTTTTATGTGTTATTTTCAATACTTGTTTCCTACAAGGTTTTCAGACTTCTTACGCCTTTTCTGTCCCTTATGATAGGTTGCTAACTCTGCTGAGTTCTACATTTTAACTGTGGTGTGAAAGTACAGTTGATAACTTAATTCATTGGACATTTGATTCCCTGAGATCATACCTGGTAAAAAAAACAGCAACATGTTCTTCTTTTGGAGTAAATTTTGTTGGCAAAAATCTCAAGAAATTGTCAAGAAAATAAAACAATGCCATACATTGACAGCAGTCATGTAAAAGTGTATAGATTATATGTCAAGATTATCCAATGAAAAGCCATGTGGAACATGAAGGGTATTTATATTGATATATTAAACACTTATTGTCAGTGATTTTGCTTAACTCTTAACATACTAAATATCATAAATGAACTTTTCAGGTGTTCAATCTGGACAAAATCTTTCATCATTTTTAGAGAAATTTTCAAAATATATATATTAGATTGAATTGCGAACAAGACGGTGCATGGGTAAAAATAGTTGCCACCAGCAGACTAAGGGGGATAAACCATATAATATCCTGGTGATCATCTGTGCAGTAAAAACAGAGTAATTTCCCCTGTGTAATACTTTATCTTAAAATTTTGTAAGCAATGAATACTTAAACATTTTACTATATAAAAACTTCTTATTCTCATTTTCACGAAATAAAAACAACATCATTCTATGCAATTTTTTATAATAAAGATTACAACTGACAGACAACCAGTTTTTTTTCTTTTCACTTGGCAACATTTCATGACAATAAAATTACACTGGTTATTTTTTATTACTTGGAAATCACTACATTTAGCCACACATTTACCATGTTAAAACCCGGGTCTTATCATTTCATATGATGTAAAGCAATAGTCCATTCTAAACCTGCAGAACTCGTTTATATCATTTTATATCAGTACTGGTGTGGATTTTATTTCCACTATTAAGATAAATCATCTGATTTCATGAAACGGGATACTTGGAACACTTCTCCAGAAATGATAAATCAGTTTAATTGCTAATTGAAAGCTTGGCCAGAGGAGTATTTCCCTAAGATCAAGACATTGTACCTTGTATAATAATTTTGTTACTTGTGTTTTACTATAATTATATACTGCTATGAAAGTGGCTTTGGTATTCAGCTTGTTTACAGTTTTAATTTCTTCAGGTGCCTTTTCCAAGGGAGGTATATCCCAATAAATTGTGCGCCAATATAGACGATGGTTGCCCGAGATGGTCGCTTGATATCTATGTAATATCAGTTTGTAAAATTGGTCAGTCTTGCAGTGGAAATATTAAGACTACAAGGGAGGCAGCTCTTGAGGTCGAGCTGGAAAGTCACTTTATGATATTAACAGTGTCCTAAAATGTAACAAAAAAAAAATAAAAATGACAATGTACATCTTAAAAGGAACAAAAAACACAAACAGTCTCTGCCAATATGTTTGTATGCTCCTGTTGTACCCATCTAAGTACAAATGGGTAATTTATATGATTAAGAGGAACTTCAAAAAAACTGCCCACATTACTTTTTCACCAACCATTTAAAAGTGCACTGACTAATGTAAATGAAATGATAGCCAATGATAAACATAAAGAGACATGGTGGTTTTCAAACAGGATAGATTTATTAATACATGTATAAAAAGTGTTTTAAACAGGATATATTTTCATAATGATATTAAAGCACATGAAAGTGGTATTTTTTTTATTTGTATCATAGTTTTGAGACCTTCTGTTGAAAATGTGTTCGAGTTCAGCATGCACAGTGCGTTAACTGGAGTGCAAGTATAAGTTACCTGCACTCCAGAGCATGCCCATTGAATGGCTCATTTTCGCTAGGGTTTACTTGTTGTGACAGCAGAGTAAGGGAAAGCGATTGAAATATTATACTAGTATTCAGATGCTCGTCCATTGGTTACTTTTTTTCTGGGGACTCATATTGTGACAACAGGGAATGTGTTTGTATGTTTGACTATGATACAAAAGAGAAAGAACATCAAAACACTCGGCAATCTGATTTAAATACTCGGGGACTACACCCCTCATACAAATCGTGTTTCGATGCTCTTTCTATTACATAGAAGTTATTCTACAAAACTTAAGAAACAAATACAATGGAAAGAAAACAATGAAAACTTGTATCACATTTCAAGCAATAATGAAAACTGAGTGTAACTATGATTATGTAATTGTATAATTATGGCTGGAGGGGGCGTGAGAGATGTTGCAATTTTCATCATCTCTCGCACTTAATGGCTGCTGAACTTATGTTATTTTTGTTATTCCCCTTTATATTTTATTCCAATTTCTTTTAGTCTGATTATGTTGGAAGCTATAAGCTTATTGAAACACTCTCATTTTTTTTATTCCGTTCCTGGAACCAACTTAAGTACTAAGCAATGTAAAATTTCTTGCTCAAGGAAACAACGGCTTGCCCCTGACGGGGTTTCAACCCACACAGCCAGCAATTGTTAAGATTACTAGTCTAATGCACTAACCTCTCGGCCATGCCGCCACAATTAGCCCCCTTTGAAGGGGGTTATTGATTTGACATTGTCTGTAGATCCATATCATAGAATCTCTCTGTTAAATTTTCTTAAAACTTAGCAGGAATATTTCTATGAATAGGAATTTGATGATTATCAAGTTTCATCAAAATTCACTCAATGGTTTATGAGTTAAGGCTCTTGTTTCTTTTCTTTTTTTAAGTATAAATACCTTACTGTTCATATGGTTAGCTTGATTTAACATGAAACTCTGCATGAATATTTATTGTATTAAGCTCATGAAATGTATTCAAATTGTGATTGTGCAGTATTGAGTTATGGCCCTTTGTTTTCTTTTTAAGGACAAATACCTTACTGTTTATATGGTAAGTTTGATTGTAAAGAAAATCTGTACATATATTTATTATGCCCCCATTTCGAAGAAAAGGGGGTATATTGCTTTGCACTTGTCGGTCCGTCGGTCTGTCGGTCCGTCGGTCCGTAGACCAAATGGTTTCCGAGTGATAACTAAAGAACCCTTAGGCCTAGGAACTTCAAACTTGGTATGGTGATTGGTCATGACCAGTAGATGACCCCTATTGATTTTGGGGTCAAGGGGTCAAAGGTCAAGGTCACATTGACCTTGTAAGCAAAAACGGTTTCTGATCAATAACTAAAGAACCTTAAGGCCTAGGAACTTCAAACTTGGTATGGTGATTGGTCATGATCAGTAGATGACCCCTATTGATTTTGGGGTCAAGGGGTCAAAGGTCAAGGTCACATTGACCTTGTAAGCAAAAACGGTTTCCGATCAATAACTAAAGAACCTTAAGGCCTAGGAACTTCAAACTTGGTATGGTGATTGGTCATGATCAGTAGATGACCCCTATTGATTTTGGGGTCAAGGGGTCAAAGGTCAAGGTCACATTGACCTTGTAAGCAAAAACGGTTTCCGATCAATAACTAAAGAACTTTAAGGCCTAGGAACTTCAAACTTGGTATGGTGATTGGTCATGATCAGTAGATGACCCCTATTGATTTTGGGGTCAAGGGGTCAAAGGACAAGGTCACATTGACCTCTTGGGTAAAAACAGTTTCTGACCAATAACAAAAGAACCCTTTGGCCTAGGAACTTCAAAATGGGTATGGTGATTGGTTATGACCAGCAGATGACCCCTATTGATTTTGGGGTTAAGGGGTCAAAGGTCAAGGTCACATTGACCTTGTAGGTAAAAACGGTTTCCGATCAATAACGAAAGAACCCTTAGGCCTAGGAACTTCAAACTTGATATGGTGATTGGTCATGATCAGTAGATGACCCCTATTGATTTTGGGGTCAAGGGGTCAAAGGTCAAGGTCACATTGACCTCTTAGGTTTAAAACGGTTTCCGATCAATAACTAAAGAACCCTTAGGCCTAGGAACTTTAAACTTGGTATGGTGATTGGTCATGACCAGCAGATGACCCCTATTGATATTGGGGTTAAGGGTCAAAGGGCAAGGTTACATTGACCTTGTAGGTAAAAATGCTTTACAATCAATAACTTAAGAACCCTTAGGCTTAGGAACTTCAAACTTGGTATGGTGATTGGTCATGACCAGCAGATGACCTATTGATTTTGGGGTCAAGGGGTCAAAGGTCAAGGTCACATTGACCTTGTAGGTAAAAATGGTTTCCGATCAATTAACTAAAAACGCTTAGGCCTAGGAACTTCAAACTTTGTATGATGATTGGTCGTGACCAGCAGATGACCCCTATTGAGTTTTGGGTCAAGGGTCAAAGGTCAAGGTCACATTGACCTTGTAAGTAAAAACGGTTTCTGATCAAAAACTTAAGAACGCTTAGGCCTAGGAACTTCAAACTTGGTATGGTGATTTGTCATGACTAGCAGATTACCCCTATTGATTTTGGGATCAAGGGGTCAAAGGTCAAGGTCACATTGACATTGTAAGTAAAAACGGTTTCTGATCAATAACTAAAGAACGCTTCGGCCTAGGAACTTCAAACTTTGCATGGTGATTGGTCATGACCAGCAGATGACCCCTATTGATT